GAACTTTATTGATCCCGAAGGGAAATTGCAGAAAGGCAACCCTCTCCCCGTCGGGGAATCGAACCCTGGTCTTCCACGTGACAGGCGGAGATACTGTCCACTATACTAACAAGGACAATAGCTAACAGATGCCTGCGGTGGCTAGAGTGCTGATTGATGGCGGGGAGACGGGGCCATCCCGCCCACCCAGAGAGAGAAAGGACAGCTGTGTTCTCTTGAACTCCTGGCCACGGACGTCTGTAGCATCACCTGGGATCAAACTTGCGATCTCCTGATAACAGGGCCAACGCTAGAGGACTGATGTTGTTTTTGGCCTGGCTGTGGTGCTGCCCGCTTGTCTTTCGACAGTGACCTCAACAATGCTCACTGTTTGCAGCAGTTCATACAGCTTTGATTAGCCGAAAAATACACAAAATATTTAGCTACTTTTAATCTGTATCTAGGGCAGCATGGTGGCGCAGTGGGTAGCGCTGTTGCCTCACAGCAAGAATGGTCTGGGTTCGATTCCCGGCTGGGTGACCAGGGTCATTTCTGTGTGGAGTTTGCCTGTTCTCCCCATGTCTGCGTGGGTTTCCTCCCACAGTCCAAAAAACTGTCAGGCCAGTTGGACATGCTAAATTGCCCCTAGGTGTGACTGTGTGTGTCTGTCTGTCTGCACTGCGATGGACTGGCGACCTGTCCAGGGTGTATCCTGCCTTCCGCCCAATGACAGCTGGGATAGGCTCCAGCACCCCACCGCGACCCAGAAGGATAAGCGGTTTAGATGATGGATGTATGTATTTTGCATCTCTGAAACGTTTACGTTTGCTGCTGGGTGTGTGGAGGTGTGATGGGTCTGGAGGCACAGACACGTCCTACACCAGCGGAGTGGATAACAGCGGAGCACCACAAGCACAGCCCAAAGTACGTGGGTGCGGGTGGGCATGGCGTGTGGTTGAAGTGGGTCAGTGCGGGCAAACATGGTGCTGGGTTTTGCAGGTGAGAGTGGGCAAGAACCACACTCACTGATTTTGCAGGCACAGGCGTACGTGATTATTGATTGAATCGGGCGGGTCCACCAGGTATTATTAATCAGACCAGTGCAGAATCTCAGGACTCGATTCCTGCAAACAACGTTATGATCCGTTATTCACAGCAGTCACGATCGTCTCATTTGTAACATCAGCATCGGATGAGCCAACACTAACAAATCATTGTGTCCTCAACTTTGGAGCCTCGCCGCCTCCACAGAGACGCCATAATCCAGAACATGTGGTCTGATTACATGGCAAGAGTCAGAGATCAGTTTAGAGATCTGAGTCAGGAGGAAATAAACTCCTCCATTCTAGACTCTGTTACTCTGAGTCAGTAATTCATACAGTTATTCTGATGTTGAGATGTTTCCTTTCAAATGAGACTGAAATCATGACTGCAGCCTAGAGCCTGTGTGAACAGCGCCCCCTTTACTTTGGGTATGCAGTTTTATGTAAAAATGGGGTGACAGTTAACAGCTTAAGCATGACATGGTTCTAAACAGAACCAATGTCTTTTTTTTAAAGAACACTTGAAGAACCATCTTTTTTTTAAGTGTGTATTTTAAGACGTTATAAGACTTTTTAAGGATTTGTGGGAACCCAACTCGCACCTCGAACCTCCCTCATCAGGTGGGTCTAAACCTCTGGCAGGCAGGTCGCATCACTGCACAGCTGCAGCGCCGCAGGAGCTCAACCATTCTGAACATGCAGCGTGTACCTGATGTTCCAGGACAATGGAGTTACAGTCATTATGCAATCATCTCAGTGGCAGTGTAATCCAGGCACAGTAGGGAGGTCTCAGTAACTACCACAGGTAACCCCCCCACCCCCAACACTACACACTACACACACGCAGTGCACTACTGATACACACCATCACTGACATAAACAACCCCCAACTCCTTTATTCTTTCTTTATTACATGAAAACACTGCTGTTAGCTATAAGACAGGGCAGTTAAAGGGGAACAGATTTCTCACAATCTCTGCATAATTAAATGGTTAAGATGTAAATGATCTCTCAGCGAGTGAAATGATCTCAAATCTAGTCAATATATCTAATATTTCTCATTATTACTTTGTTGTAAGAATATTATGAGATTATCGAACTTATTTGTATACGTTTTTACTTGTTTTGAGTCATTTTATCTAATTAAAGTGTCTCATTCCATTGGCGGAACATTTTACTTGTTTCAAACATTATCTCTTAAAATAAGTTAAATGATCTGCCAACGGAAAGACTAGATAAAATGATAAAATTACCTAAAACAAGTAAAAAAAAGTCTAGAAATAAGTTCAATAATCTTATAACATTCTTACAACAACCTCATAATGAGACATATCAGATATATTGACAAGATTTAAAATGATTTCACTCGCTAAGAGATCATTTTTGCAGTGTAAACCGAGTCGTTCAGAGTGGTTTGGTGTGAAACGCTCTGTTCTAGAGAAACTTACCGAGTCAGAATTGTTCACAGTGGTGGTGATAGGAACCAGACGTCCACCTCTAAAAGCTCCCTCACAGAAAGTTACTGCATGAAATGGTTATGAATTCACTGCCTGATGACTGAGACACTGTTTTATGATGGTTTAGAGAACTTAAACTCCATTCATGGTGGAGAGATACATGCAGGGCACTGTGAGGCAAAATAGTCCCCAAAGAAAACTTTTATTATTTCAGATTTTCCACTATTTTCCATCATCAACATTCCATATAAACTCAGAAGACTCGTGTAGGTTCACTGGTGGTTCTGGATAGTAAATAAAATGGCTATCTATGTGTTGTGGTCATGGCAACCCCTGGTTCCTATCACCACCACTGTAAAGAGTCCATTTCATTTTTGAAATTTAAATAAAATTCCTCTTTGAGGATATATTTTTCAATCACACTTTGATTATTATTGAGATATAGATATTTTTCATATATGCAATCAAGTGTACAGCCCCTTTAAAACCCATATAATGGAAAACTTTACTTCTTGTTTTAAATAGAAAGTTTGCTGTTTGTAAATATTGTTGAAGTTTCAGTCTATATATGGAAACTACACTGCAAAAGCAGCTCGTTGTTAATTCTTTTTTCTTTTGGTGATGTCATGAAAACCAACACATTTACATATATCCACCTATTCAACCTGCAGCACTTTATCTCCACCCCCTCACACTGAAGCTAAAAGGAGTGTTTCTGTCTGGAGCCTGCACAATACAGGGCAGCCAATCAGAGCAGGTTTACACATATCATTTGCATATATCATTCTTAAAGGTGCAGTAACAAAAACAGCCTGTTTAAGGGGTAAAGAAAGATTGGAAAATGCTCATGTAGAAATGAATTAAGACCGTTTCTTAGTAGATAAAACCTCAGGGAAAATATAAAACGTTAGGAAATGCAGAATATGGGTTCTATATGAACATTTTTACCTATAAAGTTACCATCTGGGAGATATTACATTTTATTATGACAACAGCAACACTGTCTGGCAACCATGCTCCACATAGAGACTGTTATAAAGCTCTCAGACGAGGATTTTCAATCCACCAGTTTTTTGTGAATTTTGAAAATGCATGAAAAAAAAATCTTAGTGGGAAAAAGCCTGAAATTGAAGAAAACACCCAAATATCACAAAAAGAGTTTTACACTAGGAGGTAGAACGAGCTGGAAAAGTTGGAAGATCGTTTAAGCAGAAATGCATAAAAGTGTGATGGAAAAGGGTTTTTTTGAATAAACAATGACGTATCGAGCCGTCAGTGAATCATCTACAGACGGTCCAATCACAGCACAGAGCTTTACGAAGGTTGCTTTCGACATTCTGAAATTCCGGATCATAGCTTTGAAAAATGCCTCTGCACTGTGTTCCCATATCTGTCTGTGTGTTTGCGATCCCTCATGCGAGGTGGGCGTCATCAGGGTGGGACGGCAATAATATCTGTCTGCAGAGCCGCAGAGCCGCAGTTTCACTCCAGCAGGTTCAAGCCAGTGTCATTCAGCTCATGCAGCGACACTTGTTTTGGTTTTTCTTTGTGAGTTTCACACTCATCAACATTTCAGTCGTTTAATGTGGGTTTCTGATAAATGTGTGATAGATTTGCGTTGGACTAACATTATATTTAGGCTAAAACAGACTTTGGTTTGGACGCATATAGAGATTCACAGGCTAAATATTACTTGAACTGTAGCTGATGTGACCTGGGTTAACTAACGGGTTATGTAGACATATATAGCTCAATAACTTACCCTTAATACGGGGCTTCATGTGTACATTTACTTTACATGAGCAGGAATAACACTTTACCTCAAGCAGCTTAAACTGAGCATCATATTAAGCTTTAGGCTAAAAAACCCACAGAACCCAGTAAGTGTTTCTTTTGGTTTCTGATGGTTTTGTAATGTGTTTTGTCGTATAGTTTAACTGGTTAGCAGTGGTTGATGCGTATATTGGTGACAGTCTCCCTTCCTGAATGGTAACGTTCATGGTGACACATACAACCAGCACAAACAGTGACTGTTTACATCAGAGACGCTGTAAATGAGGAGACCGACCACTGGCTGAAATATGAATGTGACGCTCGTAACTTTCCTATAAGGTCTTTGTTTACATGGCACAGTCGCAACGTCCTACTGCGCATGTGTTCCACTGGCCTGAAACAGACGGAGTGAAACTGCGGGGGTAAATCTGCAGCTCTGGTTCTGCAGTCGGTTCTCTGGGACGGAGAGCTCAGCTCTCATTAGGTGGCCATTGCTGAGCTGCAAACAACACGGCCATAAACAGACGACAAACAGCTGTAAATATGATTCTACTTAAAGCAAAAACCAAGTTAAATCTCTCCATCTTGCTCGTTTCGATGCCACAATCATGGTCGCCTACGTCATCTATAGTTTCTTCAATAACTGTAGTCGATGAAAATAAGACTTCATTTGCATTTTTGTCGGCCAAAATTTCATAAATGCACCTAACATTTGCGAAACATTGCTACCCAGCCAGACTGGACTCACCGTCTGTAGGTGAGGTCTTGAGTCTGTGGCAGAGTCCTTCAGTGTCGCCGTAACTCTCCTGGATCTTCTGCAGCGCCTCGGCTCCTCGGAACTCCATCAGCGCCCGCAGTTCCTCCAGAGAAACCCCGAAATCCCCCGCACAGGCCTTCCCATCCATCCCCGGCTTCTTGGGGTGGAAATCCACCGAGCTATTGGCCATGTCGCCCATGGTGCAGCCGGTCGGGTCTTAATGATTTACTCCTGCTGTTCCTGCCTCAGATCTCTGAAGCTCTGGGTGAAGTTCTCCATGCTGGGGAAGGATCAGACTGTCTCGGATGATTATTTTAAGGTGCAGTGATGAACCGGAGCTCCGTTTGGAAAATAATCCCCCTTCACCGAAAGGTCAACATGGAAAGTGGTGGCCATTGCACCAATCCATTCCTCCACACGGCTACTGGCTGGGATTAAGGGACAGGGTGGACGTAGCTGTACAAAGATGACGGCAGCATGGAACCTGAAAAAGAACAAAGAGGAGAACCATTATCAAAACACGCAGAACATATCGCCCGATTCTGATAGTAAATAAGCAAAAACTAAGACATATTTACAAAAACTTCTGACGCTCTACGCGCTTAAAACATGGTTCTTAAGGGTTCTTTAGTAAGGAAAATGGTCCTATATAGAAACATGAACGCTCAAAGAACACTTTGCATGATTAAAGGGTTCTTTGCACCCTGAAAGCGTTCTTTAGATTGGAGAATGTGTTGCATAAGGTTCTAAATAGTGTATTTCTATTTTTACAAGCTTGACATTGTACACCATAGAAGAACCCATTTTGGTGCTATATAGAACAATTTTCAAAATAGTTCTATATAGAACCATTTACAGCATATTCTCCATCAATCTGAAGAACCATTTAGGGTGCTTTGAGTGTTCTATATAGAACCATTTTCTATTCTAAAGAACCATTAAAGAACCATCATTTTGAGAGTGTATTATAATATACAACGTTAATAATAAGAATAAGTTCATTTCTATATGGATGATTCTACTGAGCTGGTTCAAAGTCAGAAGAACCCTTTTGGTGATATAGCACATTACAGCACATTCTTCATCAATCTGAAGAACTATTTCATGATGCAAAGAACCCCTTAATCATGAAAAGGGTTCTTTGAGTGCTCATGGTTCTATATAGAACCATTTTCTATACTAAAGAACCCTTAAAGAACCATCATTTCTAAAAGGGTATTATAATATACATATATGTAAATGTTAAAAATAAGAATAAGTTCATTTCTGTATGGATGACTTTAATAAACTGGTTCACAGTCAGAGCTGAAACATTTCAGTCTTTTAACTGACTTAGACTTCAGACTAAAATCCTTTTGCTCTGAGTGACTCTAAACCTTGTAATATTTTTCCTGTTAAGATTGTTGTAAGCTTAATTTAAGGTTATTTACCTTATTACTACACATTTTTACTTGTTTTAAAGAATTTTATTAAGTAAATTTATCTCACTATGTTGGCAGATAATTGTGCTTTATTTCTAGACAATTTTATTTAATAAAATGACCTAAAACAATAGAATAAGCCAGATAATCTTATAATAAGTGCACAACCATCTCAAAATGGGAAATATTAGATATATCTACTAGATTTAAGATAATTATGATCATTTTATTAAAACTAATGGTTGAACATTCCTTTTTGTCGCTACCAAAACAATCATAACTCTACCAAACTGTACCAGATGTGTCAGTAGTGACTATTTCGGTGACAATTTTAGCTCATTTAGAGCTCAGAGACTCAGTACAGAGCAGCAAACACAGCTTTGAACTGCTGTTTGCTGTTCACACAGAAAATCATCATATTTTACATTAAAACACTAAAAAGTGCTGAACTGCAGAAAATATGACGATTCTTAATGTTCCACACTGATTTTCAGATATTGGGACACATTTACTTCAAAACAATGGGATCCAACTGCTCACCATTTGGCCATGAGGGGAATGCAGCCTCACTTCCTGCTCTAAAATGCAGGGGCGTGGCTAAAATAAGGCCCCACCTACTGACTAAAACTCTAAGACATAAAAAATGTGGGATGGCAATTTTTTAATTTAAAAATTAAACGCATGATAAATCTTTCAGCTTAACTTTAAAATAAATAAAAACAATCATTTAAAAAACAAATAAATGTAAGTTTTATTTACACAAGTGTAAATTTAGAGGTTATGGTTTGGGACAGACGCCCTATAAGTACCCTATAAATGATGACTGTGCATATATTTAGCTTATTACTATCTCTATTAATGTCTTGGGTTTAAACAGATCTGAAGACAGCCCTTGTAAATATCTAAGCTTGTTTTTTTTTCTTTGTTTTTTACTGTGGGACCTCAGTTTGAACTAATTTGGTAGAATGGTTTGTATATTAATGCTGCAAAGGTAAAAATAAAAAATGTTCATTATAAAAACGTGTCTTTATAAAAGTCATTGCCACCGGTTGGGAAGATTTCACATAACATGGTGAAGGAGCTTCCTAAAGTTCTCAAGGAGGACATTATTAAACCAAACTCCAGTGGAAAAAGCTACAGAGCCCCAACAAAGACCTTAAACATCGCTGACAGTACAACTGGTTCAGTAATATGCCACTGAAAAGCTCATAGAACCACAACTAATCTTCACCACGCAGGATTTCTCTCAAACTAAAGGCCGATTTATGCTTACACTGCAAAAAATTGTGTCTTGTCAAGCAAAATTATCTTAAATATAATCAATAAATTTGATATTTTTCCTGTTAAGATTGTTGTAAGCTTAATTTAAGGTTATTTACCTTATTACTAGACATTTTTACTTGTTTTAAAGAATTTTATTAAGTAAATTTATCTCACTATATTGGCAGATAATTGTGCTTTATTTCTGGACAATTTTATTTAATAAAATGACCGAAAAAAATAGAATTAGCCAGATAATCTTATAATAAGTGCAAAACCATCTCAAAATGGGAAATATTAGATATATCTACTAGATTTAAGACCATTTCACTTGACAAGAGACCATTTTTTGCTGTGTATGCAGGGAGTCAACGCCAGGTGTGTCAAACTGGGGACCTTCTGGTCCAAAGTGCTGTGGAGATCAGCGTTTATCTTCATCTAACGCTCTGAATTCAGTTCATGAAGGCCTTGATAATTAGCTGATGAGCTGAATCAGGTGTGTTTAATGAGGCAGTGAGCTGAAGTCTGCTGAGTTTTGGCCTGCGAGGACTGGAGCCTGACACACATGGTCTATTCCAGGGTTTCCCAACCTGTGGGACACGGACCACCAGTGGGCCGTGAAGCACTCTCTAGTGGTCTGCGGGCCTGAACTCGAGGGAGGCAGTAGTTCGTAGTGGGCCAGTAGAGACGTATAAACAAAAACACAGCAGTCGCAGGCTAATTAGACGTCATCAGTTTGAGGCGATGTAGCCGCCGGTGCGCAGCGCAGCCAGAGACTGATAGGTTCTTCAGGGTGTTTCTCCTACCTTGTTCGGTGCGGACCAATCAAACTTTTAATCTTTAGTTCGCTCCGTTTTGACGTGAGTGAACACTCCACCTGTATTTGGGTCTGAAACACAGATGAAACCTGCGGCTTTCGGTCCACTTCTAACCGAACACTGTTCAGTTCAGTGCTGGTGCTTATTCTTCTACCAGCACGCCGGCGCTGTACCGTCAGTATAATCTGCCTGTTTTAACATCTGACTTATTGCTCTCATATCATTCCTGCAGCTCGAGCTGCAGCTGATAAAAACGACAGACTACAAATAAAATAATAGCTGTGATCTGTGTTTGATTTCTGGCCGAGTATCAGCGACCTGAGTAGTTAAACTCAACTTGACAAATTAATGACAAAGAAGAGATCAAGTAAGGTTTATTATTATTATAAAGTTTATTATTATTGCTGATTGTAGTGACGCTGATCCAAAAGCGTGAATGGAATGAGGTTTATTTCAAATGAGGCGCTAAAACCTGCAAAACTAAAGACTCCAGACCAAACAGCGACTCCTGTGGGAGCCACAAGAGCATTTTCAGTGAAATCAGGATGGACTGCAGCTCCAAATCACAGCCCAGATCTACTTTTTCAGGCCCTAATTCACAGGTTTTCAGTGTGAGCAATTAAGGGAAAAAAAAGAACCATTAAAAAAAAGCTGATTTTATTTTTTTCTGTGGGCCGCTGTGCTTTACAGTTACAAACAGGTGGGCCTTGGGGTGAAAAAGGTTGAGAACCCCTGGTGTACGCCGTCGTGAGCAATCACACCACTTCCATCCTTCATCTGTCTGTCACTTCAACATCAGATATTCCAGTTTTCGCTCTGAGATATTGAGTCTTTATTTTTTAAGCATCAGTGTGAATCGAGCTTGTCCTGTACTGGGAGGCTCAGTACACTTACATCAGCTTAGCCTAGCAGGCTACAACCTTAAATACTACAAAACAGGTTTGATTTTGGCTTTCTTTCACTTTCATCATCTATACTCATCACTGCAGAGCACTAGTTTGTCAGTAATTCACTCCTCAATTTGATTTATGTTCGTTCAACTCTCAACTGAAAAAGAACCTGGAAATGCGCATGGAAGGAAATGCGACGCTACCTAGTGGACAAATCACAGTTGTTGTCACTGCAATGTGTAGTTACAGTTATAAGGAGAGCATTTTTTCATTTAAAAATGAAACTTATAATAAATGAAAATCTTTCAGCTTCACTTTAAAAGAAATAAAAAAAGATAATTTTAAAAACAACATGAAATAATATAAATAAATGTAAGTATATTGTACATGTGTATACAGAGTCAGTGTGTACATATATATTTCTTTTTTCCATATATATATATATATATATATATGTATATATATATAGTATTTAAATTCTATAAGGGGGCTACGCACCTAAGATTTTCACAAACATTGTACCCGTGTAAATGTGATGTGACAATAAACGTGATTTGACTTGATTTGATTTGATTTATTATTTTCAGAAGTGTAACTTTAGGGGTTAGGGTTTGGGACAGACGCCTCTCAATTTACCCTGTAAATGGTGATTTTGTATATTAGGGTTCGCAGCTACACAGATTTGATGCAGAAGCATAAATTGGCCTAAGAGAAGCAAGCAGTCTCTGAAAAAGAGCCTCAGGATGACCTGAAAGCAGCAGAACAACAGTTACACTGTGAACGATAAGTAATGAGCTGCTCTGCAGTCACCTTGTTCCAACATCCCACGCTAAAAGCTCAGAGATGCAAATCTGTGCATTCAGGCAAATCAGAACAAGATATTCTGATCAGAAGAAACAAAAAACAGAACTCTGAGTTAATAATTCAGCTCGCCGTCTTTGGAGAAAGAAGGGTTGAGTATATGATCACAAGAACGCCCACAGCGAAGTGTGGTGGTGGGAGTATCATGCTATAGAGCAGCTTCTCTGTACTGAAGCATTACACACCATCGAAGGAAACATGAATGCAGTGATGTAGCGGGAGATACTAGAGATAAATTTAATCTCTTCGGCCAAGAAACTGGAGAGGACGGACATGTCAACAACACTACGACCCCAAACATGCAACCAGAATAATTCCAAAACTGGTTTCTGGAGAAGGTGAAGGTGCTGCATGGCGGAGCCAATCTCCCGACTGAATCAATTTAGCAAGGATTTTGAAATTAAGTCCTTCAGATGGATGTTTGTAATCCTGGGAAATGAAGATGGTTTGTAGAGAGGAACAGGCCAAAACTGGGCCACAGTGCTGCAAAAATCTGATTACTTCTTAACGTAGACAGCTTTGCAACAAAGGACTAATGTTACTTGTGGCGTCTGAATTATTTTTTCTGTATCAGTTTTGTGTTTAAAGGTGCAGTGTGTCAGATTTAGTGGCATCTAGTGGTGAGGTTGCAGATCACAACCAGCTGAATCCCCCTCCCTCACCCCTCCCTTTCCAAGCGTGTAGTAGAACCTATGGTTACTGTCAGGTTTTCTGCCGTCATCTGTCCTGATTTCGTTTTGCTTCTTCATGTTTTCTCTTCTTTGACGGTCAGGATTCACCCTCCCTCACTTTTTTGTGTGCTAGATCATAAATATGATCCTCCGTTTGTAAAAATTTGGGTTCTCAAACTTCTCACAGCCCAAAAATGGTCAAACAGCACCGGCAGCAACCACTGATTTTTCTCTCTACGTCTTCCAACCAAAGATATAGCACCACCAAATTCAAGTAAAAGTGTGAATCGCGCCCTCTAGAGGCAGTGTTTGGTTTGTTCTGGGCTACTGTGGAAACATGGCAGTGTAACATGGGGTCCTCTGTTGGAAGAGGAGACGCCTCTCTGTAGATATGAAGGACTTATTCTTAGATAAAGAAAACACAACGATTCACACTTACAGGTGATTATGCTCTAATGAACACAAGGTTCTGTGTACTACACTCTATTTCTGCTAATGGATCCCCCTGAATTTTACACACTGCACCTTTAAAGCCTATTTTTGTTTATGCTTATGATCAGGCTTAACACAGCCGATACCTGATCCATTAAAATATGATCAGCTCCAATTTCGATCCACTGGAATATAAAGAAGTAAGAAGCTTATTTTCATATCGCAGCTATCTGCAATATCAGAATGGCAAGGGCCAATATTGTGATAACAATTATCAAATGATATATTGTACCATCCTGTGACTGACTGAGAATTTCACACAGCAACATTGCTTTAAAAAATAACTCAACAAGCATCACAATAAACTGAGCTTTTATGTTAATTTGCTTCATTGTATTTAACTTATATGACCTGAATGAAATCAGTCAATCAATATGAGGTATATTTTTGTCTGATGGATTATTTTTATAAGATTTAGAAGCCAAAAATTCTCAATCCTAATATACTGACCAGGTGGGTGATATGGCAAAAATATAGTATTAATACTTCATTTTCTGTCTTGATACAGCTGCTCACTACTACTAATCTAATAAAATTACAAATCTAATAAATAAGACGATCAAAAACTATGGATAAAGTGATCTTTATCAACATTTTATGCACTGTGCTGCTCTAAATCCAGTTAAACAGGACTAATTATCCTTTCGAAGAAGTGGTGGTGATAGGAACCAGACGTCCACCTCTAAAAGCTCCTTCACAGAAAGTTACCACATGAAATTATTCCATGAATTTGGCATAAAACATATTTTTAAACTCCATACATGGTGGAGGGATACATGCAGGGTGTTGTGAGGCAAAACAGTCCCAACAGAAAACATATTATTTTCAGATTTTCCATTATTTTGCCATCATCTACATTCCATATAAACTCAGATGACTCGTGTAGGTTCACTGGTGGTTCTGGATAGTAAATAAAATGTCTATATTTGTGTTGTAGTCATGGCGACCCCTGGTTCCTATCATCACCACTGTAAAGAGATCTGAACCGTTTCACACCAAACCACTCTGACTGAATTTGATTTTTCTGCAGAACTACTGCTTTAAATCAGGACTTTTTTGTCTGAATAGTGTCGGACTTTTCTATGCTAAAGTAAACATTCCTCACTCTGGCATTCTGGGACATTATTTTGTCTTGTAATGTGTAACTAGAAAGCGAAACCTCATGAACAAACTTGAAGTTGGCTTGAAAAAAGCCGTCTAATAAACTGCAAAAATCTGATGCAGAACACTGATGCTTGTTTTTGAAAACTTTGGGTTTATATAGTTACAGGTGGTTGCTATGGTGTTGCTATGAGGTTGCTATGGTATTCCAGCTTGTTGTCAGGGTGTTGCTTGGTGATTGTTAGATGATTGCAAAGGTGTTGCTAGGCTGTTGCTGTGCTATCCCAGGTGGTTGCTAACATGGTGCAAGGTCATTGCTATGGTATCCCAGGTGGTTGCTAAGGTGTTGCTGGGTCATTGCTATAATATCCCAGGTGGTTGCTAAGGTGTCGCTAGGCCATTGCTATGGTATTCCAGGTGGTTGCTAAGGGGTTGCTAGGCCTTTGGTCTGGTATTCCATCCTGCAAAGTTTGGTGGTTCTAGCTCAACGAGTAGTTGTTGAATTGCTGAAGACCAGTAAGTTGACTTTTTCAAAATTTCCATCACATTATCATAAACACAATGCAATTCCAGAACCCCAGAACCACGGTCTGCAGAACCAGGAGAACAGAGCACACCAAATGGTTATGGTCCAGAATGCATCTCTGATACGTGTAAAGAATATAAAGCGAGCAGCTCTTAGATCCATGGACTCAGGACAGCTAGTCGAGCCCAGAGTCCAAACTAAACAGTATTTAGCTGCTACAACTGAAACAAACTGCCAGAAGATCTTAGAAGATCCAAAAATGTAACGATTTTTAATCCAGGTTAAAAACACTTCTCTTCTCATGAGCTCTAAGATTTGCACTTTATTCTTTCTAGCATTGAATATTTAAACTATTAATATTTTCTTTATGTTCATTTTCATTTGTGTTGAGCTTTTCTTCTCATTTTAATAACACTTTGTCTTTAATCTGCATTTTGCTTTGATGTCTGTGAAGCACTTTGAGTTGCCCTCCGGTATGAAACGTGCTACACAAATAAACCTGCCTCGCCTCAAACGCTCAGCTGTCCTGCACTTCACTATTTCAGTCTCTCTCTTTCTGCTCTCATGATCAAGCCTGCCTCGCTCCTCTATTCGGGCTTGAATAATCTGAATTAAGCGCGTGCATTTGTGCTCATGTCAGCCGGTGCAGCAGTAATATCACTCTCTGCCTCTTTTTGTCCTCTTTTCTCTTTTGCTTTTTATTCCCCAACCTGAAATGAAGCAGAGCAGAGCCTGCGGGTAATCCTTTGAGGGATTTCTATCCTTAAATACTCCTTTTTTGGCCAACGCGCTGCGCGTAATTGCGCCTCCAAAAGCCCGGAGTGGGCGGCGCGTGAGAAAACTGAAGCTAGGAGCCAATGGGAAGGCTGCTCTTTGCTTGCGTGCATGCCCGAGCCGGCCAATCGGCGCGCGGAGGGGTTTACTAAGGCAACGCTCGCCGCCATCAGGCCTTTCTGGTCATTGGGATGCGTTTGCGCCAGACTTATTATTATTATTCGCAGGTTTGGCGCGTTTTGAATGGAGATTAGATCAGCAGGAGGCGCAGAAAGGAGCAGAGCGGGGCAGATGAAGTGAGGGGTGGGTGAGGAGGGGGGCAAAAAACTAAGCGTGCGCGCGCGCTCCGGGGGCAAATGACGCACGCGCTTTCCCGGTAACCTTCAGGAACGCGCCGTTCACCTTGGGTCCACACACAGCAAACTCTGCGCTCCGGTCCACCTAACGTTAACCTTTCTAAGAAAAGGTGCTTGATTTTGGAAAAATGTCCCAAAAATGACGCAAATTGCATCAGATTGAGGGGATTTGGTCCCCACAAAGTGATGAATACGCGCACTGCGCGTCTTCTCCATCGCAAACGATGTTTAATCTCTGCGTAAAGGTGATGGGAATTAATGCGCAGTGGGAACGGATTGGGATTAGTGATGCTTTGGGCTCCTCACACACACTCAGCTGTGGATCTGGAGGGTCACACACCACCACCACCCCCCCCCCCAACACCACCCCAACTCAGCTGATGAGCGCGCGCGCACACACACACACACACACACACACACAGATCGGCTCAATTCTGCTGATCAAACTGATCGTTTCAGTGTCTTCACTCCCACAACACTCACTATACGCTGTAAACAAACGCTGCAAATAAATGGACTAAACTGACCAACAGGCTCACAAACGCACCTGTAGATGCTCCTATCGACCACTATTGATGGCTTGCATTGCCATTTTTCGTACTTGTTGACTGCATTGCAACGCTGCGCGCGCATTTATGACGCTAAATGTTAGAAGAAGGGAAAAAAACAACAAATCTGACTGTGAGCAGAGGGTGAAATGGTTGCACTCACCGCGCAGGCCACGCTCCAAGGACATTTTACGCATGGGTTGGGCAGACGGAGGAAAAATAAACCAGTAAAAATAATAACTAAAGATGATAATTATTGTTATAATAATAAGAACATCAGCCCAGATGAAAGGCTCCTCAAATCACATCCATCATCCCGAGGCAGAGCAGCAGATCACTGGAGCTCCAGCAGTTGGCGATGCTCTCCGGCGCAGAGAAACGCACGAAAAAAACAGAAAGAAAGGAGAGAAAACAAGCAGGCAGAAAGCCGAGGCAGCGCGAGCGGAGAGGAGGAGGCTCGCGCGAGGCGGAGGAGAATCAGACATCAGGGCCGCATTAAAGCTGAGCTGCTGCAGGAGAGTTTTGGGGGGGGAGATGATGCTCGCTGGGTGGGGGGGCGGGATGAGGCAGCAGCGGCCCCGCGCGCTCTGCAGGAGGGATGGACGGATGAGAGAGAGAGGAGGGGGGGCGGGGGGAGGATGGAGAGTGGGGGGGGCTTTCCCCCCTCCCCCTCCCCCTCCCCCTCCCCCTCCTCTCTCTCTCTCTCTCTCAGAGCGATCAGATGCGGCAGAGACTAAATATGGAGCTGAATTTCTCTCATCTGATATGAAGCCGATTATAATAAACAGACTCGGACTAAGATCAGCAACATGAAGCAGAGACCGAACACCGGAAGTCGGTTTATTACAGTTGTCGTTTATTTATAATAAACGAAGGAAGAAGAAAGATGTGACGATGACGATGAATTAGAGATTAAAATTATAGAATATATAAGATTTATGGGACAAAATGTGAGAAAAATAAGGGCTAAAAACCGGAAGTCTGCTTTATTATGGTGGCTTGAAATGTAAGAGAACAAGGAAGATGATGATGATGATGAAGATGATGATGATGATGATGATGAAGATGATGATGATGATGACGGGTGAATTATTCAGATCCAAAATATTAGATGTAAGATTTGAAGCAAAATATGAGCTAAATAAACAAATGAATGAATGAATAAATTAAGAAGAAAATAAATAAATAGATAGATAGATAGATAGATAAATAGATAGACAGATAGATAGACAGATAGATAGATAGATAGACAGACAGATAGATAGATAGACAGAGAGATAGACAGACAGACAGACGCATAGATAGATAGATAGATAGATAGATAGACATAGATAGACAGATAGTTTTGGACCGTTTATGATAAAGTCATCATAAAATATAACTAAATAAAATATAAAATGAATAAATAAATAAATAAATAAAGACTGACTGACTGACTAGTTTTGGGATGTTATTTATAATAAAACCTCATCATAAAATGTGGCAAAAAATAAGCAAAATAAAAGTAAGAATGGAAAAATGAATGAATGAATAAATGAATGAATGAATAAATGAATGAATAAATGAATGAATGAATGAATAAATGAATGAATGAATAAATAAATGAATAAATGAATGAATGAATAAATGAATGAATGAATGAATGAATGAATGATTGAATAAATGAATGAATGAATGACTAGTTTTGGGATGTTATTTATGATAAAACATTATTATAAATATAACAAAACTAAATATGAGCGAAATGAGTAAATATGAGGAAGGAGTTAAAACCGGAAGTCAGTTTATTTATTAGCGGTTATTTAGGGATATTCAGAATATCAGATATAAAATTTGCAGCTAAATCAATCAGTCAATAAATAAATTGATAGAAATAAATAAATAGATAGATACATATATAAATAATCTGAAAATGAATGGAAGTCTTTTCTGTCAGTTTGGGATGCGATTTATAATAGAAGAAAAAGAGAAATACTATGATGATGATGATGATGATGACGATGATGAGATGATGATGATGATGATGAGTTGAGTGGATTAAATTCAGTCCATTCTCTCTTTAAAAAGACGGTTCCTCATGGGTTCTTTAGTAAAGACAATGGTTCTATATGGCACCAAAAAGGTTCTTCTATTGCATACAAGCTTCACATCATAACAATAGCAGCATATATATATAGGAAATGAAGAAAATGAAGAGGAAGATGATGATGAAGGGGCACATGGGTCAGTACATTGCCTATCTGGTCATATTCGGGAGTTTAAGGAGAATTAGCCTAAAATGATCATTTAATGTTATTTGTTGATTCAGTGGCTCAGCGCTGCCTCCCTCAGCCTCATTGGTTTGACAGAATTCACAGTTCCATCAGTGTTCCGTCACTACAATACCCAGCATGCAATGCTCAAATACCCCCCTCACACCCCCCACCACCACCACCACCACTCCCTTGCTGTAACATTAGCCATCTGGCATCCTTCAGCATTGACCAGCTAGCAGGAGGAAAATGACAGCCTGCTTTTAAAATATCCACCTTAAAGTGTTCTTCCAAAAGCTCCTCCTCCATTCTTTAAGCTGGAACATCTCACTGTACCCTCTTAAAAAGATGGTTCTTTAAGGGTTCTTTAGTAAAGAAAATGGCTCTATATACAACCATCAACACTCAAAGAACCCTTTGAATGATTAAATGGTTCTTTGCATGCTGAAATGGTTCTTCAGATTAATGGAGAATGTGTGAGTACAGAACTTTCTAAAAGGGTTCTGTAGAGCACAAAAAAGGGTTCTTCTGTTGTGACGATGTCAAGCTTCTATAAAATTATGTGAAAATCATTTAAACCCTATGTTTAATGGAAAATAGCACGAAGACAACATAATAGATGATGAAACTGAGAAAGGTTATTGTTTTTTGAAAAATAAAAGTTGATTCCAGCAACACGTTGATTCAAAATAAGCACCTGTGTTTCAAAAAACAACATTTCTCAGTTTCAACATCTGATGAACTGTTTTTGTTCTATTTTTAAATAGAAATAGGCTTTAAATGATTTACACATAACTGTATACAAGCATGACGTCGTCACAATAGAAGAACCCTTTTTAGTGCCCTATAGAACCCTTTTAAATAGGTTCTATTTAGAACCATATACAACACTTCCATCAATATGAGGACCCTATTCACCATGCAAAGAACCTTTTACGCATGCAAAAGCCTTTCTGAGTGTTCACGTTCTACAGAACCATTTTCTTTACTCAAGAACCCTTTTAGAACCATCTTTTTTAAAAGTGTAGAGTGAGATGTTCCAGTCTAAAGAAGGGAGGAGGCACTTTTGGAAAAATACATAATATATTTTTAAAAAATACGTGTCCATTTTGAATCAAGGTGTTGCTGACATCACCAGATATTTTTTTAAATAACAATAACATTTTTCAATTTCAACATCTGATATTTTTTTTGTGTTATGTTCAAATAAAGTGATTTGCACATCATTGCATTCTGGTTTTATTTACATTTAGAACAGCGTCATAACGTTTTTGGAAACGAGGTTGTATACAGAATTAAGATCCAATAAAGAAATCAAGATTTTAATCAGCCAAATAAAATGAAATCAATCAACCTTTATTTGAACTTTATTTAAAGTACAATGAGGGAGACCCTCATTTGCAATGTAGCCGAGCCGATACAGAGATCAGGGATTTAGAGGCTCCTGTAGTGAATTTAGAGGCTCCTGTACTGAATTTAGAGGCTCCTGTAGTGAATTGAGAGGCTCCTGTACTGAATTTAGAGGCTCCTGTAGTGAATTTAGAGGCTCCTGTAGTGAAATTAGAGACTCCTGTAGTGAAATTAGAGACTCCTGTAGTGAAATTAGAGACTCCTGTACTGACTTTAGAGGCTCCTGTAGTGAAATTAGAGACTCCTGTACTGACTTTAGAGGCTCCTGTAGTGAAATTAGAGGCTCCTGTACTGACTTTAGAGGCTCCTGTAGTGAAATTAGAGGCTCCTGTAGTGAAATTAGAGACTCCTGTACTGACTTTAGAGGCTCTTGTAGTGAAATTAGAGACTCCTGTACTGACTTTAGAGGCTCCTGTAGTGAAATTAGAGGCTCCTGTAGTGAAATTAGAGGCTCCTGTAGTGAAATTAGAGACTCCTGTACTGACTTTAGAGGCTCCTGTACTGAATTTAGAGGCTCCTGTAGTGAAATTAGAGACTCCTGTAGTGAATTTAGAGGCTCCTGTACTGAATTTAGAGGCTCCTGTACTGAATTTCGAGGCTCCTGTACTGAATTTAGAGGCTGCTGTACTGAATTTAGTGGCTCCTGTATTGAATTTAGAGGCTCCTGTACTGAATTTAGAGGCTCCTGTGTTGAATTTAGTGGCTCCTGTAGTGAATTGAGAGGCTCCTGTAGTGAATTTAGAGGCTGCTATGCTGAATTTAGAAGCTCCTGTAGTAAATTTAGAGGCTCCTTTACTGAATTTAGAGGCTTCTGTATTGAATTTAGAGGCTGCTATACTGAATTTAGAGGCTCCTGTACTGAATTTAGAGGCTCCTGTACTGAATTTAGAGGCTCCTGTACTGAATTTAGAGGCTCCTGTATTGAATTTAGAGGCTCCTGTATTGAATTTAGAGGCTCCTGTATTGAATTTAGAGGCTCCTGTACTGAATTTAGAGGCTCATGTAGTGAATTAGAGGCTCCTGTACTGAATTTAGAGGCTTCTGTATTGAATTTAGAGGCTCCTATACTGAACTTAGAGGCTCATGTAGTGAATTAGAGGATACTGTAGTGAATTTAGAGGCTCCTGTAGTGAAATTAGAGACTCCTGTACTGAATTTAGAGGCTCCTGAACCCCAGTTCACTGCTGCACTGCAGCTAAAAGCAGATGCAAAGCAGACCCCCGCTCTCTGAACACACACAGCTGAGCACTCATTACCCAGGGTGGTGTACTATTAGTGTTTACTCCCTTCATTAATAAAACATAAATCAAGCTAAAGGAGTGAGTTGGGGGGTGGGGATGAGGATGGGGGTGGGGGGGTTATATGACCTTCAGCTTCATCATAGCACATTATGCATAACGTCTATCTGTGACACATCAGCCGCTCTCGGGCACAGAGTAGCCTACTTTAACTAAGACCTTCTCAATAAACAGCCACACTACGTCCAGTAGCTTGTTTGTTGACACATCTGGAGGCCTACTACGTGCCGGCCATGCGAATACTGCTCTGCTCTGTTCTCTTGCATTTCAATGCACCTGCTGCACATCTGCTTCTGCCCCCTGCTGGAGAACACACACACATGCGCATGACGTGCACTGCTTTTGTTTAGGTGACAACATTTCAGGGGATTCCAATGACTTTACAAGAGTTCTGCGTAAATTAAGTGGTTAAGATGTAAACAAAGTCATTCAGAGTGGTTTGGTGTGAAACGCTCTGTTCGACAGAAAGCTGAGTGGCCCTATATGCTGCCTTAATCGTGTTCCTTTCCAACTCACAGTTTTTCTGAAAAATAGACAAAAAGCACAGATAAAATTCAGATAAAATTTAAAGGCTCCTGTACTGAATTTAGACTTCTGTAGTGAATTAACTGTACTGACTTTAGAGGCTCTTGTACTGAATTTAGAGGCTCCTGTAGTGAATTTAGACTCCTGTATTGAATTTAGAGGCTCCTGTACTGAATTTAGAGGCTCCTGTATTGAACTTAGAGGCTCCTGTACTGAATTTAGAGGCTCCTGTACTGAATTTAGAGGCTCCTGTATTGAATTTAGAGGCTCCTGTACTGAATTTAGACTCCTGTATTGAATTTAGAGGCTCTTTTGGTGAATTTAGAGGCTCCTCTACTGAATTTCGAGGCTCCTGTAGTGAATTTAGAGGCTCCCGTACTGAATTTAGACTCCTGTACTGAATTTATAGGCTCCTGTATTGAATTTAGAGGCTCTTTTGTGAATTTAGAGGCTCCTGTAGTGAACTTAGAGGCTCCCATACTGAATTTAGAGGCTCCTGTACTGAATTTAGAGGCTCCCGTACTGAATTTAGACTCCTGTACTGAATTTAGAGGCTCCTGTACTGAATACTAAAGAACACTTGATAAGGACCATGTTTTTTTAGAGTGTGCTTAGAGTTTAGACGAATGTTAGGTGGCCTTCTCTAACATGCTAATAACATTAGCTTCCACAGCAGTAATTCTGAACACAGTAATTTACACACGATTATACCAGAAGAGTTTCCATTCTGGTGAGCCCAGTAATCACACAGCAGTGCTTGGTGAACTATATTCTCACCTGCGAGATGAAAAAGTATTAATTTATGAGTTGCTGCTTCTGGCTTTGATGGAAAGAAGCTGCAACTGCAGCTCCAGCAGAGCCGCGTTTCTGCTGCCCTCTACAGGCGGCGCTGCGGCGGTGCAGCCAGAGCGGCGCTGAGCCTGCAGGGAGAAACAGCAGCACAGTAATAATAAAGCGCGCATTCGACCTTATTCGGTTCATATAGAGCTGATTTCAGCCTTTTATTGAGGAAAAGGGCGCTTTATTTCAGCACTGATGGAGACGCGCCCCCTCCCCCTCCCCTCCTCCCCCCGCCTCCGCAGTTACATAAATCAGTTACATAAATAAAGAAAAACTTTAGCTGCCATTCGATAATAAACCCACCGAGCGGAAGTGGCGAGATTTAATCTGTCAGTCTGTCTGCGTCACTCAGCGGCGGCGGAACCGACCGGCTTCAAAAGATGCGTCAGCAAAAAAAAGACAACATGAGTTTTTCAACATCAGGGCTGTGATGGAGGACGAGGCGCGTGCGTTTACATTTACATTTACATTGCCAGCGTTTCCAGACGCGCTTATCCAGAGCGACTGACTGAAAGTGCTTTGTCTATCTAGAGAAAGTATCTTTGCTATTACAAATACGTTAGAAGGTCCTGAGCTCAGATACTGATAGAAACAAACGCCCATGTTGATCCAGAGAAAACAGAGTTAAACACAGCGCAGTGCAGCACATTACAATAAACACTTAACTCAGTGCGCACGATCTTAGCAACCTCATCATCCCTTACTGTACTGATACACTCAATACCCATAAATAATATACTCAATACTCATAAATGATATACATACTCATAAATAATATACTCAGTACTCATAAATGATATACATACCCATAAATAATATACTCAATACTCATAAATGATATACATACCCATAAATAATATACTCAATACCCATAAATGATATATAATACTCATAAATAATATACTCAGTACTCATAAATGATATACATACCCATAAATAATATACTCAATACTCATAAATGATATATAATACTCATAAATAATATACTCAGTACTCATAAATGATATACATACCCATAAATAATATACTTAATATTCATAAATGATATACATACCCATAAATAATATACTCAATATTCAGAAATGATATACTCAATACTTCTAAATAATATACTCAATATTCAGAAATGATATACTCAGTACTCAAAACTGATATACTTAATACTCCTAAATAATATACTCAAAAATAATATACTAAATACTCATAAATAATATACAGTACTCAAAAATGATATACTCAATACTTATAAATATACTTAATACTCATAAATGCTATACTCAATACTCATAAATGATATACTTAATACGCATAAATGCTATACTCAATATTCATAAATGATATACTTAATACTCATAAATGATACACTCAATACTCATAAATGATACTCAAAACTCATAAATAATATACTCAATACCCATGAACAATATCCCACCTAATTATATTCTCTTATATACTGGTACGTTACACGTAGACACCTTTCAAGTTAACTGCTCTTCACAGACCGTCACGCCGGCCTTGATACTGAACCGTCATAACCATCAGCTCACTGTGTTTGATATCTGAATAATAAAGAACAATCTGACGGGGCCCCTCTTGTGGCTTGGGGCCCCCTTGTGGCTCGGGGCCCCCTTGTGGCTCGGAGCCCCTGAACAAAAAGTAAACACAGAAAAGGTTATGAAGTGTTTACTGTCAGACGGCAAAACTGCACACAAGCTTTAATTAGTTCGTATTAGAAACTGAGGGCAAACTTGACCGATCTGGAATGTAGTGATCCTAATCCTCCAACGTAATCTCTCTCTCTCCCCCTCTCCCTCTCTCTCCACCCCTCTCTCTCTCTCTCTCTCTACCCCTCTCTCTCTCTACCCCCTCTCTCTCTCTCTCTACCCCTCTCTCTCTCTACCCCTCTCTCTCTCTACCCCCTCTCTCTCTCTCTCTCTACCCCTCTCTCTCTCTACCCCTCTCTCTCTCTCTACCCCTCTCTCTCTCTCCCTCTCTCTCTTTCTCTTATTTCTCTCTTTCTCTCTCCCTATGCCTCTATTTCTCTCCCTCTCTTTTTCTTATTTCTTTCTCCCTCTCTCTCCCCATGCCTCTCTCTATTTCTCTCTCTCCCTCTCTCTTTTTCTCTTATTTCTCTCACTTTATTTCTCTCTCCCTCTCTCCCCCCATGCCTCTCTCTATTGTCTCTCTCCACTTCTCTCCCTCTCTCACCCTCCCCCATTCTCCTTTGCTCCCTGCCCCTCTCCCCACCACCCTCCCCTCCATCTCTCTGATCAGTCCCCCTGTTTCTCAGCCAGTGTAGTTACAAAGTAAGAGGAAAAAAAAGGGTCAAAGTTCACTTTTCACTCTTTTCTCTGTCGGTCAGTGAGTCTTTCTCTTTTTGTCAGAGGAGTTTCTCCTGCTCCATACAGCACTCCAGTCCAGGACATCTTCACTCAGCAGGTACGTTTCTGACCAACACTTACAATTCTGGATAAAGACTGTAGCCCAGTTAAAGGGGAATTCCACCAAATTTTCAAATTTCTCCATAACTCAGTGTGTGAGATGTAATCAGAGTGATTCAGAGTGGTTTGGTGTGAAATGGTTCAGATGTCTTTACAGTGGTGGTGATAGGAACCAGGGGTCGCCATGACTACAACACAAATATAGACATTTTATTTACTATCCAGAACCACCAGTGAACCTACACGAGTCTTCTGAGTTTATATGGAATGTTGATGATGGAAAATAGTGGAAAATCTGAAATAATACGTTTTCTTTGGGGACTATTTTGCCTCACAGCGCCCTGCATATTATATATCCCTCCCTCATGAATGGAGTTTAAGTTCTCTAAACTATCATAAAACAGTGTCTCAGTCATCAGGCAGTGAATTCATAACCATTTCATGTAGTAACTTTCTGTGAGGGAGCTTTTAGAGGTGGACGTCTGGTTCCTATCACCACCACTGTGAACAATTCTGACTCGGTAAGTTTCCCTAGAACGTTTCACACCAAACCACTCAACTCTGCTTACATCATAACCATTTAATCTGCAGAAATTTAAAAGAAAAAAATGGGTGGAATTTCCCTTCTGCTTTAATATAGGCTTCAAGTGACAGTTCAGCCAAATATTACGTTTACAATACTTCAAATGTAGACAATCAGCCAAGACATATCTAAAGTTTTCTTCTTTAGCTTTAGCACTGGACCTACAAAGCTAATGTAGCTAACTTATAATGGAAGCTTATAGCCCACCAATTAGCATGGTGCTAACTGCATACCTTCACCATGTGGAGGTGTTCAGTATCTCTAATAGTCATGATTATGTGGTTTCTGACACTGTGTGACTCACTATTGTCTATAAACATGGACTAAAGTACATTAGCATAGATAAAAACAGTGATAGTCTGAATTTTATCTGTACGTTTGTCCATTTTTGGCAGATAACAATATGTGTCTCGCTTTAAAGGTACAGAAATACTGTGAGTTCACAGCTCACCAGTCCAGTGATTACACTGTCTGATATATAATTATTAAAATATAAGATATGGGGCTAAAAAACAGTGGGCGACTGATATGATTTCATCATCTCCTGAGTGAACGAGTGAGAAAACAATGACATTGACCTTCTTAACCTTTATATAACTGAGCAAACTTACATGAACTCTGGATACTCTGTGGCCTACAGGGAGCGTTTTACTGAATTAGGTCAAACTGCATCCCACAGTAAAAAAAAACAAGACTATTTAAAAACAATGAAGTATTCAGACCTTACATACTTACAAGGATTATGTTCTGATCTATTTAAACTCAAGGCATGAACAGAGACAGTAATAAGCTAAATATACACCGATCAGACATAACATTCTGACCACCCCCTCGTTTCTACGCTCATTGTCCATTTTATCAGCTCCACTTACTATATAGGTGCACTTTGTAGTTCTGCAGTTACAGACTGTAGTCCATCTGTTTCTCTGATACTTTGTTAGCCCCCTTTTACCCTGTTCTTCAGTGGTCAGGACCCCCATGGACCCTCACAGAGCAGGTACTATTTGGGTGGTGGATCATTCCCAGCACTGCAGTAACAGTGACGTGGTGGTGGTGTGTTAGTGTGTGTTGTGCTGGTACGAGTGGATCAGACACAGCAGTGCTGCTGGAGTTTTTAAACACCTCAGTGTCACTGCTGGACCGAGAATCGTCCACCAACCAAAAATATCCAGCCAACAGCGTCCTGTGGGCAGCGTCCTGTGACCACTGATGAAGGACTAGAGGATGACCAACACAAACTGTGCAGCAGCAGATGAGCTATCGTCTCTGACTTTACATCTACAAGGTGGACCGACAAGGTAGGAGTGTCTAATAGAGTGGACAGTGAGTGGATGATACCAGCACAACACACACTAACACACCACCACCATGTCAGTGTTACTGCAGTGCTGAGAATGACCCACCACCCAAATAGTGCCTGCTCTGTGAGGGTCCATGGGGGTCCTGACCACTGAAGAACAGGGTAAAAGGGGGCTAACAAAGTATCAGAGAAACAGATGGACTACAGTCTGTAACTGTAGAACTACAAAGTGCACCTATATAGTGGAGCTGATAAAATGGACAATGAGCGTAGAAACAAGGAGGTGGTCAGAATGTTATGCCTGATCGGTGTAAATAAAATCATCATTTACAGGGTGTTTTATTGTCTGTCCCAAACCAAAACACATAAATTTACACTTCTGAAAATAAAACTTAATTTTCTTTTTTTGTTGTTGCTGGCTGTTTGTTTTTTAATGTTTTTTTTTATTATTTCTTTTAAAGTGATGTTTAAAGATTTAGATGTATCAAGAGTTTAATTTGCTGTCCCATGTTTTAGTCTATAGGCAGAGCCTTATTTTAGCCACTTTTAGAAGTGAGGCTGCATCCCTGTCCCCTCATGGCCACATGGTGAGCAGTTGGATCTCATTGTTTTGAAGTAAATGTGTCCCAAAGTCTGAAAATCAGTGTGGAACATTAAGAATCATCATATTTTCTGCAGTTCAGCACTTTTTAGTGTTTTAATGTAAAATATGATGATTTTCTGTGTGAACAGCTGTTCAAAGCTGTGTTTGCTGATCTGTACTCAGTAGCTGTAATGCCAACCAATCAGAGCACAGTAGCAGTAATGCTTCCCTTCATTGTTATGGTATCTGGAATAATTGAATATTTTGTATGAAAGTATAAGTATTTTTTCAGAACTGGTTTGATAGACAGATTCTCCTAGTACGTCAGATTTTAACCCCAAACCCTCAAAGTTACTTTACAGTGAATTTATTTCTCATTTTAATTTTCCTGCTACAGCCAAAAAGAGGTGCTTCCTACACAACGTTCTTCAGTTTTAGACAGTCCTTGTGTGGAAATCTGTTTCACTCTTTTGAGAAGAATAACAGAGAAAGTCTTTTCCAAAATAAAGAAAACTGGAGTATCTGGATAGTTTCCTTGGGAGAAAGTTTGGATTTTACCCCATAAATATTTCATTACTAATAAATTAAGGGGACTTCAGAACTAATCCTGCAGGACTTTACGTGGCCAAATTTAAGGATGATGTGAACAGTTTCTTTTATGCACCACAGCCAGAAACTGTGCCTCGTCTTTTCTAGTTTGATTACTTTACATTATAAACTATTTTAGCTGGGTTTCATGTACATAAATCTAAGTTTGCTAACAAAACACTGAAGAATATAGTAAAACCATAAAGCCAGGCTGTTGCTATGCTATCCCAGGTGGTTGTTAAGGTGTTGCTAGGCTGTTCTTAAGCTATCCTAGGTGCTGGTTAAGGTGTTGCTAGGCTGTTGCTATGCTATCCCAGGTGGTTGTTAAGCTGTTGCTATGCTATCCCAGGTGGTTGTTAAGCTGTTGCTAGGCTGTTCTTAAGCTATCCCAGGTGGTTGTTAAGGTGTTGATAGGCTATTGTTATGCGATCTCAGGTGGTTGTAAGGGTGTTGCTAGGCTGTTCTTAAGCTATCCCAGGTGGTTGTTAAGGTGTTGATAGGCTATTGTTATGCTATCCCAGGTGGTTGTTAAGGTGTTGCTAGGCTGTTCTTAAGCTATCCTAGGTGCTGGTTAAGGTGTTGCTAGGCTGTTGCTATGCTATCCCAGGTGGTTGTTAAGGTGTTGCTAGGCTGTTCTTAAGCTATCCTAGGTGCTTGTTAAGGTGTTGCTAGGCTGTTGCTATGCTATCCCCAGGTGGTCGTTGAGTTTTGGTGTAGGCCATTGCTATTGTGCTATCCCAGTGGTTATTTTTGCTAAGGTGTTGCTAGGCCATTGCTGTGGTATCCCAGGCAGTCGCTAAGGTGATGAAAGAAAGAAAGCTGTCTCTGTTCCCCACTCCGCACGATCCAAAACAAATACAAAAAAAAAAAAAAAAAAAAAAAAAAAAAAAAAAAAAAAAAAAAATACTTCATATAAACAATACAAAAATGTTAAAACCAATTTAGTCCACACAAAACTGTCTATATATGGAAACTAAGCTGCAAAAACTGTTGAATTCATTGTTTTTGTGATGTCACAGACAACGATATTTACATATATGCTCCTATTCAGCTTAGCCCCACCCATTCACACCGAAGTTATAAGGAGTGTTTAGCCTGGACTGTTTTTTTGAATGAGATACAATACAGGACTGCCAATCAGAACAGAGCTTATTTAAATGTACCATCAGTCTATATCAAGCAGCCTGTTTAATTCTAAGGGATAAAGAGGGGTTTGAAAATGGTCACATAAACATGAATCACAACTGTTTTTGTTGAAAAAACACAAAAAATACAAGAAAATGTAGGACGTGGGCTCTTTAGAGTGTGAGAATTATCCCTGCGGCCCCAGTACTACCAGCAGCACATGAGCTTAGCTAATCAGATTTGCTCTCATCTATTGAAACTTAGTCTTACATAAACAAGAACTGCTCTAGTTTTAACAGTACAACCAAATTATCCTCCACTTTTTATAGGAACCAGCAGATTAAAAAATAATGAGGGCAAGATTTTCTTGCACAGGTGAATTAGGGTCATACAGGGGCTAATCTGAGGGGAGTGACTGGGGATGTGTGCTCAATAACAATACTGCCCCCCTCAATATGACTCCTCACTCCTGAATAACTGTGTTTAATGGCTCTTTTCATAAATGATTTAATTAATGAAAAAAGCACATTCATTTGGAAGTCATAATGGATCCTATAAACAACGAAAGTTATAACTTTTAATAATAACAGCAGCGATGAGTAACGTTTGTTTATTTGATGGTTGTTAATGGTGCCTTTAGAGGGCGGCGCTGAGCGACGTTTGTTTATTTGATGGTTGTTAATGGTGCCTTTAGAGGGCGGCGCTGAGCGACGTTTGTTTGTTTGATGTTCGTTAATGGCGCCTTTAGAGGGCGGCGCTGAGCGACGTTTGTATATTTGATGTTCGTTAATGACGCCTTTAGAGGGCGGCGCTGAGCGACGTTTGTATATTTGATGTTCGTTAATGACACCTTTAGAGGGCGGCGCTGAGCGACGTTTGTTTATTTGATGGTCATTAATGATGTCTTTAGAGGGCGGCGCTGAGCGACGTTTGTATATTTGATGTTTGTTAATGACGCCTTTAGAGGGCGGCGCTGAGCGACGTTTGTATATTTGATGGTCATTAATGATGCCTTTAGAGGGCGGCGCTGAGCGACGTTTGTTTATTTGATGGTTGTTGATGACGCCTTTAGAGGGCGGCGCTGAGCGACGTTTGTATATTTGATGTTCGTTAATGGCGCCTTTAGAGGGCGGCGCTGAGCGACGTTTGTTTATTTGATGGTTGTTGATGACGCCTTTAGAGGGCGGCGCTGAGCGACGTTTGTATATTTGATGTTCGTTAATGGCGCCTTTAGAGGGCGGCGCTGAGCGACGTTTGTTTATTTGATGGTCATTAATGACGCCTTTAGAGGGCGGCGCTGAGCGACGTTTGTATATTTGATGTTCGTTAATGGCGCCTTTAGAGGGCGGCGCTGAGCGACGTTTGTTTATTTGAGCTTAAACTGTTTGTGTTTGCCAACACTTGCAGTTCAACCTAACATTATTGGGAAACTGTGAGACTTACAGAAGCACAATTTAGCGAATTCTTTCCTCTTCCAGGTGAGAAAAACGTCATCAAGCACTTTTGCATCACCACCGAAAGCACCAGAACGTAAACTATTGTCATATTCATACGTACTGATTGCTAGTTTTTGTCGAATTGTAAAGAATTCCTTTTTGGGGGGCACGAGGAGGAAATGCCCCCTCAGTTTTGCATTCTTATCTTGTCTTGCAAGGTAACCCTTCAAGCTGCAACCCCCCAATGGATTTCCTAGTTTAGCCGTTCTCAATTCAATTTCTGTAGATATACGGAAAACTTTTAGTCCAAACCTGATTATTCTTGCCTGATTTACAACATTCCAACAAGCAAATAGACCTAAGTTTGAGCAAATGTTACGAAGGTTAGACTGTAAACTAGATATCTCCTGTATCGCAAGCCGTGCATTTGGTGCAGTTGTGCTCCCTCAGTAATTTATTTTTAAGCCTTTGTCTAATTGCTCCAGTCATTGGGCCTGTTTGAATAATCTTGTTTTCCATTTTCAGACGATGCTCTTCAGATGTCCTGTGCTCCTGCTCTTAGCTGCCCTCATGTGGACCCAAGTTCCTCTCAGCAGCACAGGCAGGATCCTGGTGTACCCAGTGGACGGCAGCCACTGGCTTAACATGAATATTGTGCTGAAGGAGCTCCACCAACGAGGTCACGAGCTGACTGTGGTCCGTTCTTCTACCAGTTGGTATATCCCTGAGAAAACTGCTCACTACACTTCCCTCACCGTACCGACCACCCACGCTAGCCACCTGGAGAACCCAGAGTTCATGGCGTCCTTCCTGAAGAGGAACATTGACATACGAAGAGGCGAAGGCTCCATTCTGTCCTTCATCGCTCTCCAGCAAGAGACCATTAATCTGTTGGAGGAAGCTCACAGGGCAAGTGCTGAAATGGTGAGGACCATCTTGGAGGACAAAAGACTTGTGAAGAAACTCAGAGACACCAACTACGAATTGCTTCTGACCGATCCTGGCTTCGGAGGTGGGGTCGTGTTGGGCGCATACTTGGGTCTACCAATCGCGTTGAACGTCCGTTGGATAACGAACGGAGAGGGGCACTTTGCAATCGCACCATCCCCACTTTCTTACATCCCAACGATTGGATCCGAAGTCACTGACAAAATGACCTTCAAGAACAGACTCAAGAACCTCTTACACTACGGGATCGGTCAGTACATTGACCACATCACCACCAGGCCACTTTACCAGGGTGTGATCAGCGAGTTTATAGGTCCAGATGACAGTATCTACTCCCTCATCCAGGGGGCTGACCTGTGGCTCATGCGAGTCGACTTTGTGTTCGAGTTCCCTCGTCCTACGATGCCAAACGTGGTCTACATGGGAGGGTTCCAGTGCAAGCCTTCCAAGCCTTTGCCTGCTGACCTGGAGGAGTTTGTGCAGAGTTCAGGGGAACATGGCGTGGTGGTCATGTCTCTTGGCACACTTCTTGGAAGCCTTGGACCAGAGATATCCGAAATTATTGCTTCTGCTTTCGCTCGATTACCGCAGAAGGTAGTGTGGAGAAACCTGGGGCCAAAGCCATCCACGGCTGGCAACAACACGCTAATATTAGAATGGCTACCCCAGAACGACCTTCTGGGTCATCCAAAAACCAAAGCTTTCATCACACACGGGGGCACCAATGGTATCTACGAGGCCATCTACCATGGCGTCCCAGTCCTAGGGATACCACTAATCTTTGACCAGTTTGACAACATGGTACGTCTGCAGGCCAGAGGAGTTGCTGAAGTGTTGGAGGTTACAGCCTTGGACGTGGAGACCCTAACACAAGCCCTGAAGGACATCTTGGACGAGAAGAAACCCTACAGGGAGAACATGCGTAGGATGTCACAGCTGCATCATGATACGCCACTCAAACCAATGGACACTGCCATCTTCTGGTTGGAGTACGTCATGAGGCATAAAGGTGCAGCACACTTGCGTACCGAGTCCTACAAGTTACCCTGGTACAAGTACCACAATGTGGACGTGTTGGCTTTGCTGCTGGGGGTTGTTATGGTCTTGGGTCTGCTCTTTAGCATGACCTGCAGGGTTCTGATCAGTCTCCTGAAAAGAAAGGTGAAAGTCAAACAGCAATAATAAGGAACATCTCATGATTATAATTACAGGACATCATGTTGTCATTACAGTGTTATGACACACCTTTCATCATTTCCATGACGATAAGGCTGGGACTAGATGATATTTCTCTCGACTGTGGATTATTTTGATTGTAATGCAAACAGAAAATTACGGTGTTATGATACACGTTCATAGCTTCTGTTATGCTGTGACTAGTAGGCATTTACACCGATCAGGCATAACATTATGACCACCTCCTTGTTTCTACGCTCATTGTCCATTTTATCAGCTCCACTTACTATATAGGTGCACTTTGTAGTTCTACAGTTACAGACTGTAGTCCATCTGTTTCTCTGATACTTTGTTAGCCCCCTTTTACCCTGTTCTTCAGTGGTCAGGACCCCCATGGACCCTCACAGAGCAGATACTATTTGGGTGGTGGATCATTCTCAGCACTGCAGTAACACTGACGTGGTGGTGTGTTAGTGTGTGTTGTGCTGGTACGAGTGGATCAGACACAGCAGTGCTGCTGGAGTTTTTAAACACCTCAGTCTCACTGCTGGACTGAGAATAGTCCACCAACCAAACATATCCAGCCAACAGCGTCCTGTGGGCAGCGTCCTGTGACCACTGATGAAGGACTAGAGGATGACCAACACAAACTGTGCAGCAGCAGATGAGCTATTGTCTCTGACAAGGTAGGAGTGTCTAATAGAGTGGACAGTGAGTGGACACGTGTTTAAAAACTCCAGCAGCACTGCTGTGTCTGATCCACTCACACCAGCACAACACACACTAACACACCACCACCACGTCAGTGTTACTGCAGTGCTGAGAATGACCCACCACCCAAATAGTACCTGCTCTGTGAGGGTCCATGGGGGTCCTGACCACTGAAGAACAGGGTAAAAGGGGGCTAACAAAGTATCAGAGAAACAGATGGACTACAGTCTGTAACTGTAGAACTACAAAGTGCACCTATATAGTAAGTGGAGCTGATAAAATGGACAATGAGTGTAGAAACAAGGAGGTGGTCAGAATGTTATGCCTGATCGGTGTATTTCTACTGTGGAATATACTATTCTAAAACATAGCTATACTTAAGATGCACTGACATGGGAATTTTGGGCTGATATTGGGCCTCATTCACCAACATCTTCCTAAGTTTGTTCTTAAATGTGTTCTTGATAAAGATCCTAAGAAAAAGTCTGCATCAGATTCATGACGTGTTCTTAAAGCTCAGAACTGTTCTCACCTCTGTGCTCTTGAGTGTGTGTGGATTCTGTTCTTACCTAAGAACAAATCCCACATAAGAAAACATTGCTGAATTAATTGAAGAAATTTCTTCTTAAGAACGGTTGGTGAATGAAGCCCACTGTTAAAATTAGAAAGTGGGACCAGCTTTAATACGATAAATATGATTGTTTGCCTTAATGCAACACAGATCAGATGTTTTCAGAATCAGGTGGATGCAAAAATCTTTCCAAATCAGATCTGAGCCACTTTCAGACGTGGTTCTAGATCAGATACATATCCAGTATGGGTCATGTGATCTTAAAGAGAATGGTCAGGCTGTAATTCATGAGTTTTTTTCCAGGACAAATGTACTGGTAGTTTCAGGAAGAAGGTTCATTCACAATTAAGACACGACACGAGTGAACCATTAAGACTCAAAGGTCGGATCTGAACAAAAATCAGAGGCACGTAACACAAACGCAGCCTAAATCCACCTGAATCACCATTAAAGGCAAATATGTTTATTTGTAGAGGATTACAACTGCATTAAAGTGAATAAACTGCATATATTTTAGTGCAGCAGCCCAGCTGTATACAAATTCAAGTCAAAGTTGTTTTGAAACATCGGTCAAATCTGATCACTAACTTTTATAACAAATATCTGATAGCAGTGATTCCGATATGATCGTGCATCCCCAAATTCTACCTTAATTTATTCTTTTCCAAGCTATACTAGGAGGAAAAAAACCCTCGTAGTTCACTTTATTAAATTATTTGTTTTATTGATTTGTACACTGAATTCATCAGCCAGCTATTATGCATGTAAATGTATCACTTAACACAATCGCTGCCATGGTGAACAAAATAAACTGATCCATAAATCAAATTGTCATAACGCAACACTTTGCAGATGCTGCTTTATTTTTCCTATGTTTTCGGAATGGTGTATACAACTGACTAGGCTTACAGGAGGTGAGATACTCGAGTACAAAACAAAGTGCTCCGTCTTCATCCGCTCGGCTGAGTTGAGAACGCCATCTCTTAAACGGAAAAAAAGCGCTCTCAACACTTTCTCTACGAAAACCAAAGTAGAAAAAAGGTTAGAAACTTTTTAGAATAAGATTTTAAGTCTACCGAACACAGCTCGTTTTTTTCCACTGTGATGTTTGCGGGGGAGTCATACACATGCAGGTTTTATGGACAAACACTCAGAACACAACCAACAGAACGTAGAACCTATATAATAGATACCAATTTTGTAACTCTGTTTAATTCCATTAGGAAAACCTTACAAGAAAATCTTTTTTTTTCCTGCTTTCATAATGATGACAGCAGCAGCCTACTGACCCACAGCTGACCGAATATCTGCGCCAGTATTAAGCCGTTTCACAACCATTTTCATGGGTAAACTGGAGGGAGAGAGAGAGAGAGCACAGGTAAAGAGAAAAGGAGAGAAGAGAGAGAGTAGCTTTGGTATTTTCGAGCTATTTTTCCCCAAAGTGTTCTAAAGTGAGTCACATTATAAACCCTCGAGTTTCTCAAGGTGTGTTTTGCTGCGCCGGGTCAGGTTAGCAGGTTCGGTGATCAATGTCCCTTTACTTGAGTTAAAGACGAGTTTTTTCCAGCTTTAAAACAGAAGCTATTTTAAATTAAGGAAAACATACAAAGTTGAGTCTCGAGGTTTAAAAATACAACAAATGTTCTTAAATACGGGTCATCAAACCCTCAAAAGAAAGAGCACCGCAGCAAGGCCGAAAGGGGACGAGGGGCCGAACCCGGACACTAAATACGCAAACATCCAAAAGCTTCACATGGACCAGCAGGCAATCCTACATCCAGCAGACCAGGTTTCTGATAATTCAGCTAATTAATTAATAATGTTTTTGCAAATCTTCAGGCAGTAACTCTTGCTGGATGCTGTCAGTTTTCTGGGTGGGATTTCCTTCACAACTAGTGACACATAATCTGACCCACTGCTTTAGACAGAGCAGCTAACCAATTTAGCACTGGTCCAAAATCATATTACACTGACCTTCACATCCACATTCTCCAAAATGGTCTTAGATTTATTAGGACATCTGGCATCTCCAAGGCTCCGCCCACAAATGTGTTCTTTCGTAGCTTCTGTTCTGAGGTCAGTCTCGCAGGGACCGATGTGATCATAACGAGGATACAGTCTGGGGACCACCTGTTCAACTTTTGGTGTTGGACTGTGGCCAAATCTGATACCAACACACCCTGAAATTCCTCTATTTCGGCTCTTTTCGCCACCAGAATACAATTACGCAACCCAAACAAGCTCGCTGGCAAACCGTTATTGTGCCCTACAATGAGGCAAAAAAAATGGTCTCTTTTCAAGTGAAATGATCTTAAATCTAGTCGATATATCTAATATTTCCCATTTTGAGATGGTTGTGCTCTTATTATGAGATTAACCAGATAATTTCCAGAATTTTTTACTTGTTTTAGGTCATTTTATTTAGTAAATTTATCTCACTATACTGGCAGATCATTTTGCTGGTTTCAAGCTCATTTCTTACAACAAGCAACATTATCTGCCAACATAGTGAGATAATTTTACTTAATAAAATCATTTAAAACAAGTAAAAAATAGGAATAGAAATAAGTTAAATAATCTTAAATTAAGCTTACAACAATCTCAACAGGAGAAATATTAGATTTACTGAACATATTTGAGATCATTTTACTTAACAAGAGACCATTTTTTGCAGTTCCCCCTCACATTAAGCCCAAAATTTCTCATGGTTGTCCCCAGACGTTCCAGACTGAGCTCTTGCATTTCCAAGCAGAGGATATATGTTTAAACATAGAAACGGAAATCGCGAATGCAGGGAGTTGGAATTTGGCACCTGCCGTTTTTCCACCGAGCACAACTTGTGCGGTGCAGTTACAAATTCACAATCACGCATTTTGGAGTCGTTTCCACTGGTACCGCATCAGAGACCCCATGCTGAATATGGTAACCCTTCCTACTGGGATACCAAGTGTAGTGAAATGGAACGTGTGGGTGGAGCTGGTAATGGTGCACAGCATTGACTGGTCTAATGCAACATCACACAGTGTCAGTAGTTACTGTTATTTTAATAATAATAATAATAATGATAATAATAATAATAAAAGAACAGTAGCCAGAATCGTCTGTGACACAGCAGAAGGTTAATCAGAAGCTGAAGCTCCTCCATGTTGGCTGCTGGTGTTTATGTTTACTGTTAATGGTAGATTTGTGTGAGAAAGCATTAGCACAAGCTAAAGACCCTCCACCGACATTTAAACGGATCCAGGTACTCGAACAAGTCTGCCCCCCCATAACGAAGACCTGGATGCAGTTTGAGTGGGTAGAGAGAAGTTCTGAGCATGAATTTTCAGAAAAGATTTGGGTGACTACTGACTTCCAGTGTTTGTTAGCCACATTAGCCTCCAGTACTGAATTTGGACGGCATGCCTTGGCTGATCGACGACATCTGGGGGGAGTGGAACATCAAACCATCTCATTTTGTTTGTATGTGAAAGGTCACGTTTTTAGGGGTGTCATGTAACCAATCAAACGTTAGCATAGTAGCGAACTCACTGTCGCCTCCTTCCTGCCTAGATTAGCTATTTCAGCAGCATTTTAGACTCAATATTATGTAAACAAAGTGCGCTGAAGTTCCGCATTAGGTTGAACAGCGTTCTGTAAAGCCTGCACAACCTCGCAGCAGCAGCTACGATAGAATACGCTTGTGGGCGGAGCCTGAATAGGCCAATTTAAGATGACATTAGTTCTGCATGAACTAGCATGCAGCCCAGCAGAGCAGCACCCAGCACAGTTTATTACAGCTTCAACTGTTCAAATTAGTCTTATGTTGCACTTTTTACGGAGCAATTATGCCGATTTCTCTTAAAATTACAGGGAAAAAAAAGTTCTTGTAGTATCAAAAGTGGAAAAAGTCCAGATGTGATGAAAGGCTAATGCTAATGCTAACCGTGGTGTGAAACTGAGTCTCAGGTAAGGCTGCTGCTCTGGGTCGGTACCAACGGTTACAAAGTCAGACTCTCTAAAGCACTGCTCTTCCTCTTCTAGAACACTTCAAGCCTCTCAGGAAAAGAAAGAAAGAAAGAAAGAAAGAAAGAAAGAAAAAGAAAAGAAGAAGTCGTCGCACATGGATGCTTAATTCGGTTATAAATACAACACTGATCGGAGAGCTGTTTCGGAACGAGCTGTAGCGCTGAAGTCCGAAGGCAAGCCAGCTGCTGTGGGAGACAGAAAAACTTCCTTTATCGGGGTCTTTCTCCACCTACACGCACGCAAACAGATTCACAGTCATTAAAACAAATGTTTGTGCAACAATACATGATGAAAAAATGTACAAAACACTAAATGTGGGAATTCACAAGTTAAAAAAAAAACAAAAAACAAAAAAACATTAGTGTTGCGTATTTAGCACAAAAATATCCAAAGGAAATTAAATGCCGTCTTTCTGTCCCTCTATTTCCGTTCATTACTTTTATTATTTCCACACCTCGGTTGTGACACGTCAAAAAAAAAAAAAATACAAAAAAAAAGTCCCAAAACACTTTCTCTACATTCACCACGGCCTGCGGCCTCTTCTGCCTCTCCGTCTCGTCTCTCTCTCTTTCAGAGTCACTTTAGCGCTCTTCTCCAAGTCCAGCAGTCCGTTCACTGCATCTTTTCCAGTCTGTTCATTAAAATACAGCCCCAAACCCCGCCTACAGGTCAAACAGACCACGCCTCCACTAAGACGAGCCTGCCTCCCGGCTGCCTGACCCCGCCCCTCCCGCCATCAGGTTCCTCAGCAGCTTCCTCCGGCCGGCCTGGTAGTCTTCCTCGTCTACGTTGACGAGCAGTTTGATGGCCTCGTGGCCGACGGCCTGCTTGAGCGAGTCCGTGATGAAGACGCCCTTCAGCGCCTCCAGCAGCGAGCCGTTAATGTAGTCCCGCCAAAACGCGTCCAGGTACGTCAGCTCCGAGAACTTGATGTCGCAGATGATGGAGCCGAGGTCGCGCGACTTCAGGATGGTGTTGGCCTGGTTGAAGCGCTCGAACTGCCTCTCTAGCGCCTCCTGCTTGTTGGAGAAGACGTTGCCCTGCAGAGCCGAGTCGTGCTGGCAGTACTCGGCCCGGACGCGCAGGCGGATGTCTGAGAGGAGGAGTTTCAGAAGGAGGGAGTTAAAATGATTAATTAAATCAAAATTTAATTAAATGCAACTGTTCAAATAATCTGGAATCACTTGTTTGAATTAATACATTTCATTTCATACTCAACAATAGCCTCCATAATGTAAATTTAAATATGAACAAGACAAAAGGCATTTTTAAATATTTCAAGCACGTTGGGGTCAAAAATAAATTGTTAAATTATAAATAAACAACTGTGACTACAATTCCAAAAAAGGTTGTATGTGAAATGCACAGTGATTAGTAAATCCATTCTGCCTGCAGGCCAGACCTGTGTCTTACTGAAAACTTGCTCAAGCCATAAACGATCCAGCAAAGGCATCAATCGTTTTTTTGGGAATGCTCTGTTTAAAACTCATTCAAGCAGATTAACCAGTATATTTGAGTGCATTGCCTTGATTTTGTTTGACTTGTTGCCATAAAATGAACCATAAATAAAAGCTGAAAGCTGAAAGCTGAGATTTCCTGCTGCGATGCTTCTTCTGCGTCCCAAACTGCACTAGCACAATAACTAGTGTGTAAAACAATGCAGTACCATCAGAAGTGCACTCACTAGTATAGTACACACAAGATGGTTCTTTAAGGGTTCTTTAGTAAAGAAAATGGTGCTATATAGAACCATGAACCCTCAAAAAACCCTTTACATGACTCATTTCTTCTGTTGTTACAATGTCAAGCTGGTAGTAAGTGTATTGCTAAATAGAACCCCTTTCAAAAAGGTTCTATATAGAACCATCTACAGCACATTCTCCATCAATCTGAGGAACCTTTTCATGATGCAAAGAACACTTTAATCATGCAAAGGGTCCTTTGGGTGTTCTTGGTTCTTTTCTTTACTAAAGAACCCTTGAAGAACCATCATTGTGGCTCCAGAATCAGATTTGTAGGTAAAAATAAAATAATCCTCCTTTACAGTAAAATAAAGCTCTGCTGATCGTTCAACACAGTTTAACAATAAATGGTCTTAAACTCTGGAGTTAATATAGAACTGCTGATTCACCCTTTAACCCTGAAGATCAGAGCAGACTGCTGGTCACCATAGCAACACAGACAACAGTCTCGCCTAGCTAGTAGCTAACGAAACGACAAAGAGAGAGATTTAAGACGAACGTCGATAATTTGGAGACGAATGGACTTATTAGTTATTCTCAGTTTCTCGTTGCAGATTAAACGTATCAGGAAACCAGCTGGAGTGATTATAAATGCAAATAAGTCATGAACATGAAGTTTCTCATTCGCCAGATTCTTGTTCTAATTGTCCCGTTCCACCTTAAATGGTGCAGCAGTTACATTCAGGCACCTCAGGCACCATTTAAGGTGGAACGGGGCAATTAGAACAAGAAGCTGGTGAATGAGAAGCGACTTCAGCTTCATAAAAAGTAGAACATTGAGAGACATTGTACAAGAAACTGTTCCACTTTTGAGGAAAAGTTTCCTGCTGGAGATGCGAGAGAAGCAGCTATAGCTGAGCTAAAGCTTAAAGCAGAGCAAAGTAAGTCTGTGTTTTCGTTTATATTATATTTATTAGTCTATACTAGTACATTAACACATACTGAGACATATTTACAGCCAAGACGGCAAAACTTCAGTAAAATGGACATAAAAATGTTGCGACTCCCAAGCTGGATTTTTTTTTTGTTGAAAGGACAAAATGGCTATTTTTAACATTTGGATTGCCGACTTCTGGACTATATGGATCCAGTCCAGCAAACAAGCTGTAGTGTTTTCTTCAGACCGTATCTGAAGTGTCTGCATGTATTTTCATCCTTTTCATGGTCGTTCAGATCTACTTTGCTGGGTCTTCATCCACCTGCAGTAACGGCGATGAGACAAGCTGAGCTACAGTTTCCCTACCAGAATAACAGCGTTCTCACTGACGTAATCGAACACTATGAACAGCAGTGTTTTCTATAGCGCCACCTGCAATAGTTCAGAACTCTAACAAAGACAGAAACAACATTAAAGATGTTAACTGATTAAGATAAAACAGTTAAAGGGACGCCTAAACAGACAGAAGGCACTAAGCTGCTGAGTATGAAGCGTGTCGACGTACCGCAGGTCTGTTTTTCTCTGCAGTCGGCCGCACTGTGGGCTCTCTTCCTCTTCCTGTTCGGAGTGTGGGGTGCGGGTTTGGCGCGGGGTGGACACACCTGAGGCTCCGACGGGGCGGGGCAGCAGATCACAGGCTGGGGTCCTGACAGACAGGAGGACAGCTCAGTGCCTGACTCAAGCTCAAAAGGAAAACTGCAGCGCTCACGCTGTGTGGGGCTCTCATATCGCTGCAGTCGGCCAAAAACCTTCTGTTGTTTTTTCCTCTTTTACGTAATTTGAAAACTCCACTTATCCTTTGCATTGTTAAAATTTTATGACGTTTGGACCAAGAAAAATGGTTAAAAATTACTTGGGAAAAATATTTTTACCTTAGCTTTCATTACAAAGTCATAATGTTCTGTAGGGCTGAACGAGTTTTCTATAAATTAAAGTCCAGACCTGTTTTTATTTTGCCAAAAAGACCAGAATACCCACTTTTTCTGGCTTGAGGTTTGACCCCTGAACTTGGTCTGCCAGACAGCCAGTAAGTTGTGGTTGTGAGGTCACAACACATAGGGGTTCAGTTGCCTCTGACTGGTCTAACTCATGTGTGTACAGGCAAGACACAAGCTCTGTTATTATTGCCCATCTTAAAACGTTTTTTATAATGTAGGTTAGAATTTAAAAAACTGCAGCTGTTGCGTTGTGAAAATTGCACTCTTAAATTGTGATTTTCATATAAAAATGATTAATATTTCAGTCCTAATGTTCTGCAAAATTACTGTTTTGAAAACTTTGTTCCAATAAACTTTTTTAAAGTGAAAGTTTGGTGAAAAAAAATGAATTTATCCCCCCCCCCTTACTTTAAATGTAGTTCATCAGCCAAGATATGTTTAGTGTCTAAAATTATCAGGCTAACGAGTAACAGAAGCTTATACACCAATCAGGCAGAACATTCTGACCACCTCCTTGTTTCTACGCTCATTGTCCATTTTATCAGCTCCACTTACTATATAGGTGCACTTTGTAGTTCTACAGTTACAGACTGTAGTCCATCTGTTTCTCTGATACTTTGTTAGCCCCCTTTTACCCTGTTCTTCAGTGGTCAGGTACTTGGTAGATACATTAGCCTCATAGCTCCAGAGATAAAATTGAAGAAGCAAGCACCTGCTCTCCTGTGGGGCGTGGCTTGCTGGCTTTCGGCTCTGCACCCTCTGGGGGAAATGTAGCGTACGGACGTCTCCTCCAAATATTTATCCACTGGATCTGGACACACTGCAAAACAAGGTTTAATACATATAAATACACTGCGGCTGTGCTCTGTGGAGCTGGGTGATACAGCGCTCTGGCTAAGGCTACGTTCACATTACCAGGCTGAAGCGGCACAAATCAGATTTTTTGTCCTAATGTGACTCAGATCTGATGTTTTCAGAGCTGTGTGGACACACAAATCTGATCTTTTCAAATCCGACCTGAGCCACCTTCATGTGTGGTCCTAGATCGGATACGTATCCGATTTGTGGCCATGTGACCTTAATGTGACGCTCAGATCTGAATTCAAGTGATTTTTCTCCACTGCGCGTGCGCCATCATTCAGCGTTACCATGGCAACAGCGCTGAACAGAAGTTAAAGCCTGTAAACGGTGGAAAAGCAGCTCATCTCACCTTTTTCTCCTTCGTCTCGCTCTAATAATGAAGCTGAGAGCTGATCAGAGTTAATTATCTTCTCAGCGAAGCTCGTTCTGCTCGTTAGTTTGTGCTGATGATGAACGTGATTCATTCACGTGACGTTACTGAGTAGGATGAGCTCATGAGGGTCATTTCAGGACGCCGGTTCGTCACATTAATGACAGATTTGAGTCACTGACCTAAACGAGTGTGAACCATCCTGTCGGAGAGATCGGATTTGAGCAAAAAATCGGATTTGAGAAATGAGGCTTGTAATGTGAACGTAGCTTAAGATGTACATAGAGTAAAATAAAAACTAAATAAATAAATAAAAATGTATATTTTCAGATTCAACTCCATTTTCAAATCTGACGTCAAGATTTAAGTCAATGTTTGATATTTTTAGCATAAAAAAACCCACAAAACTATTCAGTCTTAGACACATATGCATTTAGGATTAGTTTAAAATACTAAAATATAAGTTTTAGAAAATATCTCACAGAAACATCTCTTTTTGCACAATTACAATTACAAAGGAAAAACTGCCGAAGCGGCGATTCTCCTCACCCGTCTGTCTCTTGCGTAGAGTGACGTAAGGCAGAAGATCGTGTCTGGTGATGATGCGGAGCAGCTGGAGAATGTGCCGGAAGTTCGTCTCATCGCAGCGTCCCTGACGCTCCAGCGCCAGCAGGAAATCCTTCCCGCTCCGAATGCCGCCGCGCTCGTACTCGTCTATGACGTCCACGAACAGAAAGGACAGCACACGGACGTCCCGGTGCGTCAGGTGAGCACCCACGATGTCGAACATGCGGTGCAGCGAGTAAAGGCCATAAGCGTCGTCCACAGCTTCCTCCGGCCAGGGCTCAGAGCGGCCGGACACGGCTCTCCGCGAGGAGGCGGGGTTACTGCAGGACGCTCGGCTCACTGGAGGAGACAAAGAGACTTTATTAGAAACACCAACCTTGTGCTTCCACTCACTGGCCACATTATTAGAAACACCCACCTTGGGCTTCTACTCACTGGTCACTTTATTAGAAACACCCACCTTGTGCTTCCACTCACTGGCCACTTTATTGGAAATGCCTACCTTGGGCTTCCACTCACTGGCCACTTTATTGGAAATGCCTACCTTGGGCTTCCACTCACTGGCCACTTTATTGGAAACGCCTACATTGTGCTTCCACTAACTGGTCACTTTATTAGAAACACCCACCTTGGGCTTCCACTCACTGGCCACTTTATTGGAAACGCCTACATTGTGCTTCCACTCACTGGTCACTTTATTAGAAACACCCACCTTGGGCTTCTACTCACTGGTCACTTTATTAGAAACACCCACCTTGGGCTTCCACTCACTGGCCACTTTATTGGAAATGCCTACCTTGTGCTTCCACTAAGTGGTCACTTTATTAGAAACACCCACCTTGAGCTTCCACTCACTGGCCACTTTATTAGAAACATCTACCTCATAGCTCCACTACATAAATATACAGTTACAGACTGTCTGTTCTTCCACAGTTTACCAGCCCGTCCACCCCATTCATCTTTTGTCAGTTTCTGACCACAGGACCTCTACTGCCCAGACATTGGGTGGTGGTCCATTCTCAGCACTGCAGTGACACTAACATGATAGTGTGTGGTGCTGGCAAGAGTGTATCAGTCATAGCAGAGTTGCTGCTAGGTTGAGAATGAAGCGGCACCCAAAATATCCAGCCGAGAACTAAATACAAACATTGTTCCCTCCAGGTTTTGAGGCTTATCAGCTGATTTCCGTGTGTCTGACAGGGAGTGGGCGTATCCTCCTCATGCCCCTATCCAGTGATCATCAACATTTCCTGCCAGGCCTGCTCTGAGGCGGTCCTACATTTTACTACAATCACAGTGACAGACAAGAACGATGATGTGACAATACAGCAGCTGAAACGTCCAGAGAATCACTGGAGCAGACAATTATCACAGAGGCTCAGGAGAAGACCATCCTAGTAGGTTCTGACTGAGATAAGAGTTTTGAGAATCTCACCACAAAGCTGCACTTCACAAAGCAGGATTCCTCAGTTTGACAGCCAATAAAAACATCACAAAACTCTCCTCCTAGTGGACAGGATTGAAGAATTCAGTATAATTCAGTGTGTGAGATGTAAACAGAGTGATTCAGAGTGGTTTGGTGTGAAATGGTTCAGATGTCTTTACAGTGGTGGTGATAGGAACCAGGGGTTGCCATGACTACAACACAGATATAGACATTTTATTTACTATCCAGAACCACCAGTGAACCTACACGAGTCTTCTGAGCTTATATGGAATGTTGATGACGGGAAATAGTGGAAAATCTCAAATAAGCTTGTATGCCTCCGCCTTGAATTGATTAAGGCCAAAACCATCTTCAAACTATCCTAAAACAGTGTCTCAGTCATCAGGCAGTGAATTCATAACCATTTACTGTAGTAACTTTCTGTGAGGGAGCTTTTAGAGGTGGACGTCTGGTTCCTATCACCACCACTGTGAACAATTCTGAGTTTCTCTAGAACCGTATCAAACTACGCTGAATGACTTTCTTTAACCATTTAATTATGCAGAAAATCTGTGGAAAAGCCATTTAAGTTTTGAGTTCTTGGTCTTGAATCCTTGCAGATTCTCTGCATACAACATATTAGTTTGGCTCCGCCCACTCTCTTTGCACATCTTAAAGGGGAACTCCACCGATTTTTCAAAAATCCTACATAATTAAACCGGTAAGATGTAAACAATGTTGTTCAGAGTGGTTTAATTACATATAAAACCTCAGAAGACTCGTGTAGGTTCACTGGTGGTTTTGGTTGGGGATTAAATGTCTATATCTGTGTTGTAGTCATGGCGACCCCTGGTTCCTATCACCACCACTATAAAGACGTCTGAGATGACAAGTTTCTCTACAATGAACCATTTCTCATCAAACCACTCAGAATGACCCTGTTTACAGCTCTGAATTATTCAGAAATTTTGAAAAAATTGGTGGAATTCCCCTTTAAGTGCCTGCTCAAGATATAAACGTAAACATAGAGGCAAGCTATCTGGCTGTGAAAGTCCTGCTTTGTAAATTAACCTCCCTCTGGCTAGGGCTGGGCGATAAAACGATAACCATAATTATTGCAATATAACCTTCATCGACAGAAATATAAGAAATGTTTGATATATTTTCGATTTATTACACCGTTCACACACTCCCACGTTCCAGCGACGGCCCAGGTGGCGTTTTTTACTGCAAGGAAAGTGACACTACTCTGCTGTCGCAACAAGAGGGCGCACTTCTGAGTTTTTCAACATGATTAGAGAGGGAGGGGGCGACGAGTAAAATGAGTCGCCAAATATACTTTAGCAACATCTGAAACGTGGAGTTATACATTCCCTGTTTGAGTGGAGCGACCGGCGATCTGCTCTCCTGTGACCGAGTGTGAGTGACGAGGTCAGTGGTGTAGCTGTACTGACCTACAGTGAACTCACCTCCTTCCTAACATCCTAACAGCTTTAGCAGCGTTAAATCACGTCTGCTCCTCACAACTACAGCACTGTTACAGCGCTCAGTCATATTTTAGTGTTAGTGCATTCCCAAACAACGAAAGTGAAAGAAAGAAGTGGTTCATGTTCATTACAGCCCTGATTCAAACGAATGTAGACTGAGGATGCTGCATGTGTGTCATTGGAGAGCGTTGTCTTTCCAGGCTAGCTGTTTTTAGCAGCTGGCTAACTCGAAGCAGCTCCATCACTCACACAGCACAGTGAACTGATGATACTGTAGATCAAACAAGACACAAAAGCGCTGATTTCAGTTTAAACGTTCCTAAAAGTCGGACTCTGTTTGTCTGGTGTTGATATACTGCGGTTCACCCCTCAAACTACTATAGAGGAACCCAGTCGTCTGCTAGCTGCTGTCTGAATACGGTGATCCGCTCTGTCAGGGATGTGGTGGAGCGGCGGCAGTGAGGCGGCGTGATCCGTCACTGACCTACCCAACCAGCTTATGACTGCTGTTCGTATTAAGCTGACGTTGTTGAGAAACGAAACAGTTTAGCACTTCTAACCAGTTTTCTTTGTTATTCTTTGTTACTGTTATTTATTAATTATGACTATTTATAGATCTTATTGCATATTTTTGTATATTTCTAATAGTATATATACTGTAGACAGGTTGGTCTGTACATATTCTTCTTTTTAATATTGTGTCACCTTTATTATTATAACTGCCCTGTGTTGTGTGACTGATACATCCAAGCATCCATCCATCCATCCATCCATCCATCCATCCTTTATCCACCCGTCCATCCATCCATCCATCCATCCAACCATCCTTTATCTATCCATCCATCCATCCATCCTTTATCCATCCATCCATCCAACCATCCTTTATCCAACCATTCAACCATCCTTTATCCATCCATCCATCCTTCCATACAACCATCCTTTATCCATCCATCCATCCATCCATTCAACCATCCTTTATCCAACCATTCAACCATTCTTTATCCATCCATCCATCCATCCACCCTTCCATTCAACCATCTTTTATCCATCCATCCATCCAACCTTCCATTCAACCATCTTTTATCCATCCAACCATCTTTTATCCATCCATCCTTCTATTCAACCATCTTTTATCCATCCATCCATCCAACCTTCCATTCAACCATCTTTTATCCATCCAACCATCTTTTATCCATCCATCCTTCCATTCAACCATCTTTTATCCAACCATCCTTCCATTCAACCATATTTTATCCAACCATCCATTCAATCATCTTTTATCAATCCATCCATCCATCCATCCTTCCATTCAACCATTTTTATCCATCCATTCTTCCATTCAACCATCTTTTATCCATCCATCCATCCTTCCATTCAACCATCCTTTATCCATCCATCCATCCACCCTTCCATTCAACCATCTTTTATCCATCCATCCATCCCTCCCTCCTTCCATTCAACCATCTTTTATCCATCCATCCATCCATCCATCCATCCTTCCATTCAACCATCCTTTATCCATCCATCCATCCACCCTTCCATTCAACCATCTTTTATCCATCCATCCATCCCTCCCTCCTTCCATTCAACCATCTTTTATCCATCCATCCATCCATCCTTCCATTCAACCATCTTTTATCCATCCATCCATCCCTCCCTCCTTCCATTCAACCATCTTTTATCCATCCATCCATCCATCCATCCATCCTTCCATTCAACCATCTTTTATCCATCCATCCATCCATCCATCCATCCATCCTTCCATTCAACCATCTTTTATCCATCCATCCATCCATCCATCCTTCCATTCAACCATCTTTTATCCATCCATCCATCCCAAAAATTGCAGCCATGCTTTTCCAGCTGGTAAAAACAGCCAACCAGAAACTTCCTCCCAGTGTCCCATGACAGATTTGTGAGAAGTTCCACTGTTTGGTGAGTGTTTATCGTGTTCTGACCATAAAGGATAGTTTAAAACAGCAATTAACCACTTCAGGAGCAAAAACCAACCTTGAAACATGAAAGGAATAATCATTTGAAATTTATCTTGATATGTATCGATATCGACTGATATGAAATTTTTTATCATGATAACATTTTTGGCCATACCGCCCAGCTCTACCTCCAGCTGTATCAGCTCTTTGTTTACCTGTCGTGGCGTGAGCCGGTGTGGATGAAGAAGTGCCGGCCCAGCCTCTCCTGGAGGATCGTGGGTAGGAGTCCAGCAGGCCGGGAGACGAGCCCTGCCTGCCATGGCTGGAGGAGGAGGTGTGTGGAGCGAGGAGGGGCGGGGTTGCATTCCCACGCTGCTGTGAGCTCATCACTCTGCGCCAAGCACACGCACGGCAGGGTGGGAGGGGGGGCGATGATGTCACTGTCACTGATGACGTGGAACCGGAAATCAGCGCTGATGTGACTGGCTTCTGCACACGCGGACTCGAACGCTCTCCTCCAGCTTCATTCTGTCGTTACGGAAAAACAAGATTTAACACAGAAACAACTTAAAGTAGGAACAGAGGCAGGAACTTCGGGCTGACGCTGATATCTGACATCTGCCAATACTGATATACACTGTTCTTCAGTGGTCAGGACCCCCATGGACCCTCACAGAGCAGGTACTGTTTGGGTGGTGGATCATTCTCAGCAGTGCAGTAACACTGACGTGGTGGTGGTGTGTTAGTGTGGGTTGTGCTGGTCTGAGTGGATCAGACACAGCAGTACTGCTGGAGTTTTTAAACACTGTGTCCACTCACTGTCCACTCTATTAGACACTCCTACCTTGTCAGTCCACCTTGTAGATGTAAAGTCAGAGACGATAGCTCATCTGCTGCTGCACAGTTTGTGTTGGTCATCCTCTAGTCCTTCATCAGTGGTCACAGGACGCTGCTGGCTGGATATTTTTGGTTGGTGGACTATTCTCAGTCCAGCAGCGACACTGAGGTGTTTAAAAACTCCAGCAGCACTGCTGTGTCTGATCCACTCAGACCAGCGCAACACACACTAACACACCACCACCACGTGCAGTGCTGAGAATGATCCACCACCCAAATAGTACCTGCTCTGTGAGGGTCCATGGGGGTCCTGACCACTGAAGAACAGGCTAACAAAGTATCAGAGAAACAGATGGACTACAGTCTGTAACTGTAGAACTACAAAGTGCACCTATATAGTAAGTGGAGCTGATAAGATGGAAAATGAGCGTAGAAACAAGGAGGTGGTCAGAATGTTAAGCCTGATTGGTGTATTTATTCCATGTTATTTCATCATGTGATGTGTTTCACGATGTGTTTTTCACTATATTATTTTCACAGTTTCAACACGGCCTTAAATAACCTGCACAGCTTTGAGCAACACGTCCACCGTTTAAATTAGAAAGGAAGCTGTGTCGCAACAGCTGAACTCAAGCAGGACCCCAGCTGATGTCCTAAGGTTTCCTTCACTCCAGTCAGCGAGTCTGTTCTACTAGGCAATGCAGTTTTTTATCTAAACCGTCAGCAGGAGTTCTGTTCAGACCGGAGAGTCCAGATCTGCTCCTAAAGGGCTTTAGAGGAGCACAGGATGGTCATTCACCTGCTCAGACACACCTGATCCCTCTCAGCAGGTAGTTAGCAGGTTTTGTAGATGTGTTAGAGCAGGAAAAGAAGCAGAGTGTGTTGGACTGCAACCCACCCCCCCACCCCCCACCCCCTCACCCCCCAACCCCCTCATATTAGGCAATAAAACACATGATTTGATATTTGATGACATATTTGCTGTAAACTGGAAGAGCAGGATGTAGGGCTGGACGATATGACAGAATATATCGGTATCATGATAAATGTCACATTATAAAAAGGACAGTTTTGGTCCTAAAATCTGATTGGCTGAGCCGCGTCCGAAGCCGTTGTAAAATCCACGATATACCACGGCTCTGGCGCCTCACAGCGACGGAACTCTGTATCACTGCGCCACGGCATGAAAAACCCTCCTGCTGTTAATGGATTAATCTTTGACTCTAACGCTGATCGCACAGAGCACCGAGTGCGCCGATGAAGTAAGAACCTGTTTTTTGTTTGTAACTGAAGGGCTGAACTTATTTTCTTATCTAGAACTAGGCTGGTCAGCTCGCTAACATTAAAAGACCCCATTACCACTCAGTGTTTCAATGGGAAAAGTGAGCATTATGTGTACATATTACTTTACGTTGTTTACTACCTCTTTCTGATCCTGCTTCCCTGCAATCAAAGGAACTTTTGCTCCAGGTTAGAGGTAACTTAGCTGCTCTCGGGTAAAACCCAGTCACTTTAGCTGAGCTGTTTTACCGCACAGGCACACTGAAGAAAGTATAAGTTCTGAAGCAAGTCTGCGTTTTTTGGTTACGTTCACTCAAGCGAAACCAGGTTTGGGATAGCTACTGAAAAGTTAGTAGTTATCTACTTTGTAGCCACTTTCCCAAAACGTGAAGCTACAATTCAGCGACTTTTCCAGAAAAAGTAATGCACTACTTTTTAGCTACTTTTGGAAAAATAATGCACTACTTTTTAGCTACGTTTGGAAGAGTAGTGCACTTCTTTTTATCTTCTTTTTGAAAAGTAGTGCACTTCTTTTTAGCTTCTTTTTGAAAAGTAGTGCACTTCTTTTGATCTTCTTTTTGAAAAGTAGTGCACTTCTTTTTAGCTTCTTTTTGAAAAGTAGTGCACTTCTTTTTATCTTCTTTTTGAAAAGTAGTGCACTTCTTTTTAGCTTCTTTTTGAAAAGTAGTGCACTTTTTAGCTACTTTCAAAGCACGATTGTCGGAATGTTTGTGAATCTCCACCTGACACACCAAACAAGCCCAACTGTGAACAAGAGACTGCATTTAATCATGTACCAGAAATAAACATACAACTGAAAAGCATGTATACAAAAACATCACCAAAAAGCGAGTTTAAGTGTAACCAACAATCAAACTTACACAACCAAAGGCGTGATATCCAACAGAAATTTAGGCAAAGTCAATCATTCCAAGTTTTTCCTAACAAAAATCAACAAAAATAAACAAATACAAACCAAACAATTTTGTGCAGAGCACTGTCAACTGTTGAAATTGATTAAGTGATGTCGCTAAGCAGCAGCAGCCAAAAGTTACCGTGCCGTTGGGCTGCCTCTGCCATTGTGGCAGAGCTCGCTAACAGGCTAAAAGAGAGCGAACATGCTAAACGACCCCAACATTAATATCACAGGCTCAAATTAAAGTACTCACAATATGATTCACTGAAAAAAGACAGTATGAAAGACTAAAGAATGTCATCTGAATGTCCTACATGCTTCAAAAGTCTGTGTTTCAGTCAGAAGTCATGTCAAACCCAGGCTGAGTCCCAAACGGCTCCATACCCCCTTGCAAAATAGTGAGCTGTGTAGCGTTAAGTTTAGAAATTCTAGCTTCTGCTGTCGAATAGCGACTGCCTGTCGAGTATGAATGTGTCTGAATCCCAAATGCCTGTTTCTTAGCTTTATTTTGCTCTGTTGGGCTGCAGGATCCAGTATTTAAACTCATATGTAGTGCACTATGTAGGGAGCAGGGAGCCGTTTGAGATTCAGCCCCAGCGTGAGAAGAGGGCGCCGCTGGATTGGTGCTAATTAAGACTCGCGGTGGTTATTTGGTGACCAAAACGTTTATATAAACTGAAAATACTGCAATTTTATCATGTGGGGAGTTTTACTCGCTTCGCGTCGTGCCAAACAACCCCTTCCCCGTGATAAAATCGCAGTAACCCACGGCCTCTCGTGGCTTATTGCTTTAATACAATACGCTTTTTTGAACATATTGTGAATGTTTGAGTATAAAGAGAGCAAAATTAGACCTGTTTAACTGGATTTAGTGCAACACATTTTTCTAAACGTTGAATAAAAATCATTATGTAGCACTACAGGAGAGAGTGCATGTGCACGTGACGTCAGACTCTATCGTGTAGTTTTATTAAGAGTGATGCCTGTAAATATGCGCTATAATGGACATTTCGACAAGGTGGCACAGTTGCTGTCCACCTCAGGTTGTAACAGCAGAAATTTCTGAAAATGCACTTCATTTTTTCCCCCACAGAGAAAAGCTTGAGACCTGGAGTTCCTAATATCGGCACGATGGCGAAGGCAGGTTTGGGTGCTGTTTTTGCAATACTGATTGGTCATGGTATTATTAATGTTCCAGGACTGTACTGATATGGTTACACCCCTAAAGCCTTGATCGCTCTGTACAGCAGACACACTAACACAGCTGTGTGAGATGCTGTTATGTTGGCACGTTTTCCACGCATTACTGTTTAAATGCAATCTCATGTTTGCACTGCATTTCACTGCTTTGGCTGCATTTCAGTGAGCTAACAGAGGTTTTGGCACATCACATTTTGCCACGTCACCCAGAGCTGAAAGATCCATCATTTTTATATCAAAACTACCATTTTTCAAATGGCAAGAGCTGCAACTCTCTAAAACGTACAGCCTACATGATCAAAAATGTCCTCTTAGGTTTTAAGAGGGGAGATTTAATCTCATAGCACAGAGCTTGTGAACTGCCTGTAGGCGAGTTAGACCAATCAGAGGCAACCAAACCTCCATATGTTGTGACATCACCACCACAACTTACTGGCTATCTGGCAGACTACATTCGGGGTCAGGCCTCAAGCCAGAGAAAAGTGGAAATTCTGGTCTTCTTGGCAAAAGAACAGGTCTGAACTTCAAGTAAAAATAAAATAATCACTACTGGGGCTGGGCGATTAATCGAAAAGTAATCGAAACCGACATTCAGAACCTCTAACCAAGGTAATCTTGTCAATGTCAGTTATTTAGATTTTTTTTTATTCTGTTAATCGTTTCCCCACTGTCTGTGTTTCTGTAGCGTCCCCTTAAAAACCTACTACCGCGCGTGCATCACGTGACTCCGCCTCAGCCAGTCTGCGACATGGAAACTAAGGCTGTGTTCACACAGCAGGTAAAAGTGGCCCAAATCTGATTTTCGGACATTTCTTTAGAAATTTCTTCAAACACGGAGCAGTTTGGATGAGTCTTTTCTCATTTTTTGTACAGAAATATCAGCCCAAATGTTTATGAGTCTCAGCAACGCGAAATTCGCAGTTCGTTCTCCAGCTCCTCACACTAAATTCCCAAACTGTCATCACCACTGAGAAGCTTTTCAGTCGGCAGCTGTGACAGAAGAACAGCTGAACAACCTGGAATCAGCCAGAAATGAACCCAACACCATTCGCCAAACGTGTAGTCTGATCTTCAGAGTCTGACCAAATCAGACTGAGCCATAAAACTGCTGCAATATCAAGTTCAGCTCAGTTTTGTCACTTTTTGCCAGATCAGTATTAATGTTGTTTTGTTCCAGCCAGTCTGTAAAGCATCTTACAGCCCATTTAGTTTGGCGAATGGTGTTGGATTCATTTCTGGCTGATTCCAGGTTGTTCAGCTGTTCTTCTGTCTCAGCTGCCGACTGAAAAGCTTCTCAGTGGTGATGACAGTTTGGGAATTTAGTGTCGTCTCGTCTTCAGAGTCTGACCAAATCGGCTGTCGGTCAAATGTGATCTTAAAAGTGTCCGTTTTCTGTTTGCGGCAAAGTAAGAAGTAAAAACGTTCAAATGTCTTGAGCGCCTCCTACAGCTGTCGAAGTCGTTGCTAAGCAACGGCGTCTCAGTGGAGTGATACAGTGTTTGTGGGAAAAGCCGTGATGTTATGGTGAAATAACAGCACAGTTAGAACGCTGCTCAACCAATCAGCTCGCGTGGCTGGAACTAACTGTTGAATAATACAATATATATCATTATTATGATAAATTATAATACGATAGAACATGCTTTCCTGAACATATTGTGTATATTAGTGCGTGTAGACACTGACCAACTGCAAGCTTCGTTATAAAGACAGCAGTCTCGTTTAACTGGACCTGGAACCAAATACTGAATATAAATAGCACTTTTAAAATAAATATCGTGAAAAATATCCTTTCTTTAAGTATCGCAATATCATATTTCTTGTCATATCGCCCAGCTCTACCGCTCGCCTCTAGAAATAAAACATACTGCCCCCGAAATTTCAATCAGGAATAATTTTGCTTATAATTTTGAAAATCGTTCTGCCTGATTTGAGGTGTAAAACAAGCTCATGCTCGCCTGACCTGTTATAATTTTATGATATTATGGTCTTTAATGTTCAGTGGTGCGTTGTGGCTCCCAGAAACGGCTGTGCTGAATTTCCCAAAAATAAAGTTCTGATGTTCTCCTGCGGGCCTTCATGCCTTCTAGTGATAAACAGGCGGACCTTGAGAACCCCTGATCTAGACGTAAACAGAACGCTCGGCTCGTGCGCCGTATTCCAGCTAGTTGCTAGCACGGTGGGCTCGCGCTGTTGTAAACAGAAAGCTCGGCTCGCGCTCAGTATTCCAGGTGGTCGCAAGTACGGTCGGCTCGCGCACAGAACTGGAGATGCCGCTCGGCTCGCGCGCAGCAGTCAAGCTGGTCTCTATAAGCACAATCGGCTCGTGCTCTGAACTGAAGAAGCAGCTCGCGCAGCTGTAAACAAGAGCGCTCGGCTCGTGCGCAGCATTCCAGCTGGTCGCTAGCTAGCTAGGTGAGCACGGTCGGCTCGCGCACTGAACTGTCGGGTAGATGCCGCTCGCGCTGCTGTAAACAGAGCGCTCGGCTCGTGCCTGACAGACAGGATGCTAGGCTAAGTGGAGCGTTCTAGCTAACTTTAGTAGCTGGTTAGGATCTGGCGGGAGCGTATGGTTTCACACAGGCATTCAGTCACGTTCCAAGTAGCTAGAACTCTGGGCTCGAGCCCGCGGGCGAGTTTATTTGGCTCGCGTTAGCCCGGAGCTAAGCGTTAGCTGCGCTGCGCTAAGCTAATCGGACCCGGCTGTGTCTGAACGTAAAGCCGCTTTATTTACTCACCGCCGCACATTAATCCCCTCGGCGCTCCGCGGTCCGGGGCTGCGGTTATGAGTGTAAGGGGGCTCCGGGTCCGTGTCCGAGTCCGAGTCCGAGCGGATTCCCGCAGCAGCTCAGTGCTGCGGCCATTACTGCCCACTGCTAAGATGAAGGAACATCCGGGTACGGCCAAAGCGGGGTGCAACATCCGGGGTACAGAGTCAGCGCTGGCACCGCCCACATTCGGGTTTGTGGACCCGTTGGCCAATCAGGGATTTAAGCTTTGTTTATTATTATTAGGGTTCTGTAATGCCGAGCCCCTCAGATCAGCGCGAGGGAATGAGCGCTGAGTCCGAACGCTTAATTAACAAAATTATTACGAGGGAATGTAAAATAAGTGCAAAGGAGCGCAAAATTATCACAAGTGAATGCTGAATTGTTGCGAGGGAATGAAAAAAAATTGCGTGGGAATTCAAAATATTGCAACAGAGCTCAAAATTATTGCGAGGGAATGCAAAATCATTGTGAGGTAATGCAAAATTATTGCAATAGAGCGCAAAATTATCACAAGTGAATGCTGAATTGTTGCGAGGGAGCTCAAAATTATTGCGAGGGAATGCAAACTCATTGAGAGGGAATTCAAAATATTGCAATAGAGCTCAAAATTATTGCGAGGGAATGCAAAATCATTGTGATGGAATGCTAAATTATTGCAATAGAGTGCGAAATTATTACCAGGGAGTTCAAAATTATTGCAAGGAAGCACAAAATTATCACAAGTGAATGCTGAATTGTTGCGAGGGAGCTCAAAATTATTGTGACAGAATGCTAAATTACTGTGATAGAGCACAAAATGTTTACGAGGGAATGCTATGTCATTACCTTTTTTTAACCACAGCCTCTTAGGAACTCTGTACTATTACACTGAGACTATTTCTTACACTATTTAAAAGTGCCAGCAGCTCTTTACATTGTGTGAACATTTCATGATGTACGGACCAACAGAAAAGGTTTGAAATTAAAAAAGGAGTTTTTATGTGGCATGTTATTCAAGTCATTGAAAAACACATTATACATAACTCTGGTCTTATTTTTATTGAGAACATGAGACACACCCTGAATAAATTACAAAAATATTGCACATCATCGCTATCAATGGACACATTATATCCACGTTGGCTGAACATTTCATAATGTGCAAAACACTTGAGACAATATGTGAAATGCAAGTAAAAACAGAAAGCAATAATCTCTAAATCCACACATATTTACAGTACAAAGACAAGATTTTTTAATGTTTTACCCTTATTAATTTGTAAATATGCACTTATTCTTATAATGCAACAAAAAGCCATAGCAGACATCATATGTCAACAACATCCAGAAACACCGCCTACTTCTTTGGGCTCAAGCTCGTCTGAAATGGATCGGTGGGTAACCTGCACATCGATGAAAGCACCATTAACACTGAACACATTCTGGAGCAGCACATACAACACATTGTCTGCTCTGTTTAGTGTGTTACACACTCTTAAATAAGATGGTTCTTTTAAGGGTTCTTTAGTAAAAACAATGGTTCTATATAGAACAATGAACAGTCCAAAAAACGTTTGCATGATTAAATGGTTCTCTGCATGGTGAAATGGTTCTTCAGATTGATGGGGAACGTGTTGTATATGGTTCTATATAGCACCAAAAAGTGCTCTTCTATTGTTACAATGGTCAAGCTTGCATACAACAAAAGAACCCTTTTTGGTTCTATAAAGAACCATTTTCAAAAAGGCTCTATACAGAACCATATACAACATATCCTCCATTAATCTGAAATGTGATTTCACCATGCAAAGAAACATTTAAGCATGCAAATTGTTCTTTGAGTGTTCATGGTTCTACATAGAACCCTTGGACCTCATTCACCAACTGTTCTTAAGAAGAAATCTCTTCTTAAACCCCCTCACCATGTTCTCTTATGTGGGATTTGTTCTTAGGTAAGAACAGAATCTACACACACTCAAGAGCACAAAGGTGAGAACAGTTCTGCGCTTTAAGAACACGTCATGAATCTGACATAGACTTTTTCTTAGAACCTTTCTCTAGAACACATTTAAGAATAAACTTAGGAAGATATTGGAGAATGAGGCCCAATGTCTTTACTAGAGAACCCTTGAGGAAGTACTTAATAAGTACTTCTTTCAAACTGTAATGTGATTGTTCCTTCTTATGTCCTGGAAAATGGAATCTCAGTACTCATTACTGTACTTCTATACTCTTAAAAAAATGGTTCTTCATGGGAAAATGGTTCTAAATAGAACCATGATCACTCAAAGAACTCTTTGCATGATTAAAGGGTTCTTCAGATTGATGGGGAATGTGTTGTGTATGGTTCTTGAAGAACTGTCTTTTTTAAGAGTGCGTCTCATATACATGTGTACACTCACCGATGGTTCTGCTTCTCTCTGTTCTTACCTGCTACAGCGAAATCGTACACGCCCCAGTGGGAGAATTCAATCAGGTCTCCAAACTGGGCGGTGGCTACAATCTCAGCAACCTGTCCATCACACACAGGTCAGGTTTTGGAACAAGTCTGACAACAAACGCTAAGATACAACTCATCAGGAAAAACTTCTGAAAACATTATAAAACAGTATTTAAACCATTATAAATACGATCCTGTACATTAGCTGCAGAGATTACTGACATTGTGGACTTTGCTTTAATTCTAATTAGGCTGCTGGCTTTTATTCTTATCTGTTGGCATCGTGTTTGTTTGTTTATCAGTGTTGTAAAGTTAAAAACACAGAAATGTATGAGAAGTTTTTGAGTGTTTTATCCTTCAGAGGTACTCATAGCTCTATAAAGCAAACTGGATGAAAAAATAAACATTATGTAAGCTAACATAAAACTAACGTGACTGCAGAAAAGTCCAACTCATTGGAAAACTTTTGAAAATATTGTAAAACAGTATTTAAATCATTATAAATATGATCCTGTACATTAGCTGCAGAGATTACTGACATTGTGGACTCAATTACTTTAATTCTTCTCCGTTGACATCGTGTTTGTTTGTTTATCAGTGTTATAAAGTACAAAATACAGAAATGTATGAGAAGTTTTTGAGTGTTTTATTCCTCAGAGGTACTCATAGCTCTATAAAGCTCTACAACAGCGCTATGAAAAACATAAACATCATAGAAGCTAACATAAAACTAACATGACCACAGAAAAGTCCCGGCAAGTTTATTTCCAGCTGTGGCTCATGTAAGCTAAGCCATAACTTCCCTGATAGCAAGAGGACACTGGGCCACTAATGGTAGAGCTGGTCCACTGGTGTTTTGCTCAGAGTTTTCCAGGCAGCCAGCCGGTGTTTACGCAGAGTATTTGACAAAATTCCCCTTATCATCGCTCATTTTCCACTCACAGTCCAATTTCTTTATTTTTCCTTCCTTCCTTTCTTTGGTTATACTTTGTAAATTAGTTTAGTAAATCATTTTAATCTATTACAGCATCAGCAACAACATTTTATAAAATCGTTTTATATTTGGCCTTTTTTTCTCTCAGCTGTTTGTAATATTTGTCTTAGTTTACTTTCTAAAATAAAAGTCTTTTAAAAACCTGTTTGAGGAGAGTAAAAACTAGTAAGAGCTTGTCTGCAGGACAGTAATCTGGGTGGTCCGAGGGTGGACCAGCAGTGGCAAGCGGTCAGCGGGGTGCCGACTTTATCAAGCCAGCGGACCGATATATTCTTGCTATCTGGGTTAGTGGAACATAGTAGGTCAACATTTGAATGCATGTTTAGAAGGAACCCACCTGGTCTTTGCGTTCCATTTTAGTTTAGTTAGTCGCAATAGATGTATTTACATAATCAAGCAGATGAAACAGAAAGTAGCTGAATGGAGATGAACCTGAAAGGTTAGACTGCAGACTGTGGAATCTTGTCCTGAGGGTAGGGGAACTTCTGCCTTTGTTCAAATGGATATTAAAACTGGGCTGTTCTCCAAAAAGGAATTCCACAAGGAGCGCATGCTCTCGATAAACAAGCTCAGCAGTTCTGGGGTGGGGTGGAGGGGTGGTGGGGTGGGACAGAGGGGTGGAGGGGTGGGAAAGAGGGGTGGGGGTGCTATTAGGCCCAAAATTGACAAGGGCCCAGAAAGATTGCACCGTTTTCTGAAACACTCCGTTCATTAAATCATAATTAAAGACATGTTTTAGATACAGCGCCAACAGCCATTCTGTCACCCCTCCAGTGTCCCCAACAACCCCCCCCCCATTTCGTACGATTGTCTCAGAGAAATAAAGCAGATCTCAATATTATATTAATGAAGAATCACTGATTTCTGAACTGTTTCTCCTGAACCTCCTCAGGAGAAAAGAGGAGATCAACATCAGCGTCTCACTGTGAGAAGCTCTGGTGATGGAGGAGAAAAGCGTGAGTTCTCCTTCTGCACTGACAGACTGCTGAGAGGGTTCTGTGATCTAGAACAGAGCTGTATAAGAGAACGATGAGATCTCACACTGTTCTTATGGAGATATTGTTCAGCTGAGACTGGGCTGAGACGAGTCAGACTCTAAAGAGTTAATCCACATGTGTGACAGTATTTTGATCAAAGTGAGAAAATCTGAGGGAGCCAAATTTCATATCAGGAGAAAATGGCTTCAGTCTCACTCTGATCTCAAACTGGGCTCAACCAGGTCTGGGAGGAGAATCAAGAGGAGACCTCATTTAGAGTATTTCTTTCCTCTGGGCTGTAGTTTAGCCCAGTAACACTCTGTAAGAAGAATAGTAGTTTTGGCCATAGAATAAAAACTGGTTTCATCCAGATTTTACCAGTCTGCTTTACCTTTCAAGCTCAACTTGCCCCTCTCTTCACTGGGTCAGTAGGTACACACAGGCCTCTCTGTGAACTTTCTGTGAACCCAGGGGCTTTCCAGTGTCTAGAATATCCTATGCAGACAGACTAAGGCCGACCCTTTGTGATAAAATTAATATTCTCTGTTAGCCAATACTACCTATATGGTTATTGATTACAATATCTTATCTATTTGATTACTGATTAAGGGAATATTTATTCAAAGTCTCTGTCAACAAATTTTAAAAACTTTAGTGTCACTGCTGGACTGAGAATAGTCCACCAACCAAGAATATCCAGCCAACAGCGTCCTGTGGGCAGCATCCTGTGACCACTGATGAAGGACTAGAGGATGACCAACACAAACTGTGCAGCAGCAGATGAGCTATCGTCTCTGACTTTACATCTACAAGGTGGACTGACAAGGTAGGAGTGTCTAATAGAGTGGACAGTGAGTGGACACAGTGTTTAAAAACTCCAGCAGCACTGCTGTGTCTGATCCACTCAGACCAGCGCAACACACACTAACATACCACCACCACGTCAGTGTCACTGCAGTGCTGAGAATGATCCACCACCCAAATAGTACCTGCTCTGTGAGGGTCCATGGGGGTCCTGACCACTGAAGAACAGGGTAAAAGGGGGCTAACAAAGTAGAACTACAAAGTGCACCTATATAGTAAGTGGAGCTGATAAAATGGACAATGAGCGTAGAAATAAGGAGGTGGTCATAATGTTATGCCTGATCGGTGTAGAACAGTTTTTATGGTATACGTCATCAGTTAAATATTTGTTAACAGTCTGTGTTCTTGTCTAGTCTGTTCAGTGTGTTTCATGTCATGTGTGACTCACCAAGACTAATTCCTTATATGTGTAATATGCTTGTTGAAGTAAAGTAATTCAGGTTCTGATAAAGCGAATAAAACAGTGTAGTGCTGAAACCCCCAGAAACTCTATAACTCGTAAGTTAGAAATCATGATTTATTTATATTACAAATTAAAGATTTACAGATCTGAGCGTGCTGATGGCAGATACACCGCTCAGACAGCGACGGCGCTGCTTTCCTAACAGATCACGTGTAGTATTTAGCCACGACGTCTGCAAACACTTTGGTCGCCTCCTCACACTCCTTGTTTTTGGTCCTCCCTGGAATCTGGTTCAAAACACAAACAGAGTCCTTTCAGAAACCAGCAGTAAAAAATAGTCAAAGTTGCTAAAAGGTGACACAGATCAAATGCCGGCTCTGACTGAAGGTACTGAAGGTGAGGAGTTATGAGCTGTTAAAAATCAAAATCATGTCAGGCCTCTATTGTAAAGGCACATCGCTCATGTCTGAAAAAGCTACTACAAAAAAATGTAAACAATGCGTATCATTTGAATATGCAAAGTTAGGATCGTGAGCCAAACTCAATGTATTAATGAGTCTAATAAACCTCGATTTATAGTAGATATAAATGCGAAATAGGCATATTGTGTGATGCAGTGTTTTTGTTTTGATTTGCCATTCAGAAATCTTTATCACTACAATACAAATACTTTAAAAGGTGATATGAGCAACAAATACCAAAATTTAAAGATCATTGTAGACATAAGTAGGGCCAAAGTTGCTCCGATGCACAAAATATATTTCCAGAGAGTCATAAAATGTAAATATACATCCCTAATAGCTTCTAGTTCCAGTTAACAGACCTTAATCCAAAGAAGAATTCCTGAAAATTTCATGCATGTAGCGTTAATTGTTGAAAAGTTATAACATATCAAAGTTCAAATCACATATGTACATTAATTTCACATTAATAAAATACATTTCATAAGTTTTTGCCACAATTAAGTCAACTGAAAGACAAAATTGTGTTGATGTAATACAGCCGAATGGTCAAATTACATTATATTACAAATAATTTTTTTAAACTCAATTTTCTAAGGAAAATTAAACAACAAAATTAGTAAATTTAGTGAAAAACTTTGTAAGTGAAAATAAATAACATCCTCTACAGAGAACAATCATAAATATGACATTTTTTGACAAGATTCAGTGCAATGTTTCTATTTATTTGCTGAGTTTAAAGCCGCACTATGTAAGATTTTGCACATTTTTGTTGGTAAAACTGATAGAAGTCTCATTACTAAGTCAGGGGAATAAAAACACACTAAAATATGGTGAGCGTGCCCTGCTGTGAGTCACCCTGCGAAGCCTGAAATAATCATTTAAAGTCAGAGGTGTCGAGTTTTTCACACCCTGTTGTACGTCTTTACGTATTAACGTCACACACAGACTTGATGTTTAGGCCTCAAATGATCTCAACATTAATACTGATGAAGATGTGATGACAGTAGTAGATAATTCACTCACATCCTCAGAAGACACTCCTTCACCAAGTTTAGACTGAGTTCTCTTTACATTCTTTTTCCATTATGAGATTCATCTGCTCGGGGAAGGACAACCCACACTACGAACTGTTCTTCCACATATGGGGTGCAATTACACATTTCCAAATCCCCAAAACTTACACAGTGCAGATTTAACAAAAAAAAACATAAAATAAAACATGTGCTGGAACCTTTATTTATTTTTTCCAATATAAACAGTATGTGTGTATTAAAAGGTGTGTTCTCTGTAGAGAAACTTATTTACACATAGAAAATTAACAAAACATGGAATTTGACCAGGGGCGCCCAAACCTTACAACTACTTATAATTTTCTATCTGCTATGATGTAGAAAATTCAGTCAAGCATATCCAATCCATCAGGCCTACCTGAAGCTCCTGCACTCACCTGGTTGCACACTGCTTTCCCGTAACGCACAAACGTGGCAAAGTGTTCGCAGTTCAGGGAGAAGAGTTTGTAATTAAGCTCTTTGTCCAGCAGAGCATCGCGCCGGTGCCTCATCTCGTCCTGGCTGGTGGGCTTCAGAGCATGACGGTTGTTGCAAACTAAGACATGAGCCCCTTTGGGGACGGTGACCTCTCCCACCGGCTGCCGGCGGATTTTGGTCTCTCCGAGGAGAAGGTCACCGCAGACAGGGAACACAGTCTGGAGGTAGCCTCGGAATGTGTTCATCATCTGGGTCTCATCTGGGAGGAGTGGTTTGAAATGAAAGAGAACATTCAAGCATCTTAATGAGGCTCGTATAGAAAGTTTTATACAATATACAATATACAAAGACATTCCTAAATTCAGATTTGCTTAATATTTTGAAGAAATAATGTTATTGTGTCAAAGAGATAACATGTAAAATTTAGGCCTGTATCTTCACAATTACTGACATACATATATGTTGAGATATATGCTCCTTGTTTCTACGCTCATTGTCCATTTTATCAGCTCCACTTACTATATAGGTGCACTTTGTAGTTCTACAGTTACAGACTGTAGTCCATCTGTTTCTCTGATACTTTGTTAGCCCCCTTTTACCCTGTTCTTCAGTGGTCAGGACCCCCATGGACCCTCACAGAGCAGGTACTATTTGGGTGGTGGATCATTCTCAGCACTGCAGTAACACTGACGTGGTGGCGGTGTGTTAGTGTGTGTTGTGCTGTGGGCAGCGTCCTGTGACCACTGATGAAGGACTAGAGGATGACCAACACAAACTGTGCAGCAGCAAGTCAGCTATCGTCTCTGACTTTACATCTACAAGGTGGACTGACAAGGTAGGAGTGTCTAATAGAGTGGACAGTGAGTGGACACAGTGTTTAAAAACTCCAGCAGCACTGCTGTGTCTGATCCACTCGTACCAGCACAACACACACTAACACACCACCACCACGTCAGTGTTACTGCAGTGAGCTGATAAAATGCACAATATCTAACATCAATATATATTCAATTGATAATATGATATACAATTGGACTTTACATATATATCTCATCTGGAAGATGTGGTTTGAAATGAAAGAGAACATTCAAGCTTAGTGAGGCGTGTATACAAAGAATTTAGACACACACATACAGCAGGGTGAAAGCACAGAAGGCATTCCTAACTTCAGATTTACTTAATATTTTTAGCATATAATGTTATTGAGCCCAACAGATAGTGTGCCTTATTTGTTGGACTTAAAAGTACAAAATTCAATAATGTTAGACACATGAAATTGTCAGCGTTTAACAACCAAATCAGAAGACACAGATATGCATACTTGCCATTTTATGGCTTGCTAAAAATCTGAAAAAAAGGAATATTTTTTGAGCATTGCATCAAAATACACACAGTACAGAAAATAACATTTTTACATTTAAGAATTCTCCATCAATCTGAAGAACCATTTCACCATGCAGAGAACCATTTAATCATGAACCTGTGTTCAAGGTTCTTTATAGAACCATTGTCTTTACCAAAGAATCCTTGCAGAAGCATCTTTCTTAAGAGTGCATGTCATATACACTGTATGGACAAAAGTATTGGGACACCTAAACATCACACCGACAGGAGCTTTTATGAATCCCATTCTAAATCCATAGGCATTAATATGGAGTTGGTCCCCCTTTGCAGCTCTAACAGCTTCCACTCTTCTGGGAAGCTTCTACAAGATGTTGGAGAGTCTGAGGGAATTTCTGCCCATTCATCCAGAAGAGCATCTGTGAGGTCAGACACTGATGTTGGACGAGAGGGTCTGGCTCACAATCTCCGTTCTAGTTCATTCCAAAGGTGTTTAATGGGGTTGAGGTCAGGGCTCTGTGAGGGCCAGTCAGGTTCTTCCACACCAAACTCACCCAGTCAGGCCTTTATGGAGCTGCTTTGTGCACTGGGGCTCCATCATGCTGGAACAGGAAAGGTTCTTCCCCAAACTGTTCCCACAATTTTGGAAGTGTACAATTGTCCAAAATGTCTTGGTGCTGAAGCATTAAGATTTCCCTTCACTGGAACTAAGGGTTCTAGACCAACCCCTGAAAAACAGCCCCATATCATCATCCCTCCTCCACCAAACTCTACAGCTGGTACAGTGCAGTCAGGCAGGTAACGTTCTCCTGGCATTCGCCAAACCCAGACTCGTCCATCAGACTGACAGATAGAGAAGCTGATTCATCGCTCCACAGAATACGTTTCCACTGCTCCAGAGTCCAGTGGCGGCGCTTTACACCAGTCCAGTCGACACTTGGGATTGTGCATTTTGATCTTAAGCTTGTGTGCAGCTGCTCAGCCATGGAAACCCATTTCTTGAAGCTCCTAACACACAGTTGTTTTCTGATGTTGCTTCCAGAGCCTCTACTGCCAGTGTCTGTCTATTGAGACTGCAAGACTATGTGCTTAATCTTATCCACCTGTTAGCAATGAGTGTGGCTGAAACACCTGAACTCAATAATTAAGAGGTGTGTCCCAATACATTTGTCTATGTATTGTACATGTGTGCACTCACCAACGGTTCTGCATCTCTCTGTTCTTACCTGCTACAGCGAAATGAATGACGTATCCGTCTTCATCATACACGCCCCAGTGGGAGTAGCCAATAGGATAGGAGAATTCAATCAGGTCTCCGAACTGGGCGGTGGCTACAATCTCAGCAACCTGTCCGTCACATGCAGGTCAGGTTTTGGAACAAGTCTGACAACATACGCTAAGATACAACTCATCAGGAAAACTTCTGAAAACATTATAAAACAGTATTTAAACCATTATAAATACGATCCTGTACATTAGCTGCAGAGATTACTGACCTTCAGAACATTGTGGGCTCGATTGTTTATGTTATAATTAGTTTATTGACTCTTATTCATAGTCATCATGCTTGTTGTTTAGCAGTGCTGTAGTGTTATCATTAGACTAGTAAAAATGGCCTTTTCATGCTCTCACTTTATTTGGATTGTCCACTGTAGTCCACTATAGTCCCCTATAGATGATCTACAGATGTTCAAATTGTTAACAAACTCTCTGTTTAAGCTCAGTTGATCTTAAACAGTGGTGGGGTTAGGTTTAGGATTTGGACCAGGGTTAGGGCTAGGAGCAGGGTGAGAGTTGGGATTAGGTTTTGGGTTGAAGGTTAAGGTTAGATTTGGATTAGAGCAGGTTTAGAGTTAAAGACAATGATGGTCAGTTTAGTAGATATTTAGTTGAATGTAACTTGAAAGTAAATTAAGTATCTACAAACCATCTAAAGTGGACTCTCCAAATCAAGTCTCACCTTAGCAGGTCAGAGATATTCAGTTTTCTGAATTTGCGTTGGCTAAAAAATCTTAAAATAACTGAAAGCTGACATAAACTCGTGTGAAATGCAGAGAAACTTGTTTTTTATCTGTGCAAAATTGACAATTTTATAAGCTCAATTATAATCTTGTCTAATTTAAGTAGGCCTTTTTGTCCTTTTTATATCAGCATTTAACGCATTTAAAAAAAAATAATCCTACCTGTTCTTTGTAGTCCATTGTAGCTCGTCCTCTGTGGTGAAAACTCTTCGGGTGAGTTTACAGAAGTGAAGTGGGCGTGACTGAGTCAAAAAACAAGTATGCTGAATGGAGTAAAACCTGAAAGGTAAGACTGCAGGAGCACAAACAAGGCACTCCAACGGGAGGGAAACCCTCAGTGTGTTCAGATGAATATTAAAAACTGGGCCGTCCTCCAAAAAAGAGGAGCGCATTTCATCATTTTGATATATTTAAGCAGTAGAACCCGAGAGGGAGTGTGTTATCGTGAAATAACATCACAGCTGTGATTTGGTCGCCGTAGATCATCACAGCCGTGATGTTATTGGTGATAACACACTCCTCGAGTGTTCTACTGCTTTAATACAACAGTTAAATAAATAAAGTAATAAATTAATAAACTGGGCCGTGAACGCGGCGTTTAATATGTTTTAATGTTCAGTTCCTTCACCAAATTATAGATCCTTAACGAGCAGCTCGTTGCTACGTCAGAGTAATGAGCTCCGCCCACTCGCTGCACAGCCGGCAGTTTGTTCTCCAGCTCCTTACACTAAATTCCCAAACTGTCATCACCACTGAGCAGCTTTTCAGTCGGCAGCTGTGACAGAAGAACAGCTAAACAACCTGGAATCAGCCAGAAATGAACCCAACACCATTCGCCACACGTGTAGTCTGATCTTCAGAGTCTGACCAAATCGGACTGAGCCATAAAACTGCCGCAATATCAAGTTCAGCTCAGTTTTGTGATTTTTTGCCAGATCAATATTAATGTTGTTTTGTTCCAGCCAGTCTGTAAAGCATCTTACAGCCCATTTAGTTTGGCGAATGGTCTGACCAAATCGGCTGTCGGTCAAACGTGATCTTAAAGGTGTCCATTTTCTGTTTGTGGCAAAGTAAGAAGTAAAAACGTTCAAATGTCTTGAGCGTCTCCTACGGCTGGCAAAGTCGTTGCTTAGCAACAGCGTCTCAGTGGACCGATACAGTGTTTGTGAAAAAGCCATGATGTTATGGCGAAATAACAGCACGGTTAGAACACTTCTCAACCAATCAGCTCGCGTGGCCGGAACTAGCTGTTGTATAAACATTGATAAATAATGAATGATCCCATCAGTCAAAGAGTTTATCAGTTCTAGCTCACCATTTATTACAAAATTCCAGTCATTTATTGTCATGTATTTATTGTTAAAGCGTATTGAAGAGTGCGTCTACATTTTCTGATCTCTAATTGTAGCTACGGTATAACATACAGCAACAATGGAACAAACAAACTGTAACAAGAAACAGAAATTTAATTATTAAGGGTGTAACGATGTTAATACAGTTATGAAAAATTGACAAAATGAACAGCAAAAAATCACCGATGTGCTCCTTTTGTTTTATTTATCTGACCTAAACCAATACGTCTACTACAGAAGGAGACCTTTGGAGACGGAACAACAATTTAAAGCAAAGAATTTCAAAAAAACAAATCAAATCTTGACCTCGGAATCAGAAATCATGTATAATCTGTATCGTTACACCCCAAATGTTTATGTTCATTACATCTGAATGGCACTCAGCAGGTGAGAATGACAGAGTGTGAAGTAAAAATGGAATTAAAAGCGTTAATTAATAAACAGCAAAACGATGATTTCTGAAAAAACTGTAATCAGGAAACAACAGCGATGGAATGATTTCATGTAGAGGAGACACAAATGCTTGTTTTGTGATGAAAAAGTTTATCAAGTAACATTTCCCTGGAGAACTGACCACACATTCAGTGTTAATGGAACTTCACATGTGCTTCCTTTCCTGAACTCATTCATGCACACTGTAATCATCTTCTCCACAAGGCGTTTGCATTTTTTAGCATTTGCAGGCGCGTCGCTCCCTCTGACAGGCGAGTGTGTGTATCTGCAGGTGTGCTTCTAGTACTGTGCAAAAGTCAGAGACCACCTGTCCCAAAAATGGGGCTCCTAGCAACCACCTGGAAGAGCTGGTTGACCCCAAAACTGCCCCCATCAGATAAACAGCACTTAAAGCTTTCATCTCTGAGAGAGAGGAGAAAATCAAGCTGCTTCAGATCTGAAAACATCCACAGGTGTTTCTGTCCATCCTTCCACTGTGAGAAGACGACTCAGCGCTGTGGGTCTGAAAGGATGTGTAGCTGATCAAGAAGAACCTCACTGAGAAAAGGAGACGGACACATCAAACAAAGAAGCTGAACGATGGACTGACCACCCCAGAGTCCAGACCTCAACACCACTGAATGTGTTTGATTACTTCAGAAAATGATCAACCAGCTTCTAAGACTGAACTTTGGAGGTGTGGAAAAACATCCCTGAACAGCTTCCAGAAAGAATGGAAGCTGTACACTTAAAAAAAAGATGGTTCTTCAAGGGTTCTTTAGTAGAAAATGGTTCTATATAGAACCATGAACAATCAAAAAACACTTTGCATGATTAAAGGGTTCTTTGTATCATGAAAGTGTTCTTCAAATTGATAGAGAATGTGCTGTATATGGTCCTGTATAGAACCTTTTTGAAAATGGTTCTATATAGCCCTCAAAAGTGTTCTTCTATTGTGTACAAGCTTGACATCGTAACAACAAAAGAAACTTTTTGGGTGCTATATAGAACCCTTTCCAAAAATGTTCTATATAGCACCCAAATACAGCACATGCTGAAGAACCCTTTCATGATGCAAAGAACCCTTTAATCATGCAAAAGGGTTCCTTGAGTGTTCAAAGTTCTTTACAGAACCGCTTTTTTTACTAAAGAACCCCTGAAGAACCATCTTTTTTGAGAGTGTAGGCGTTAAAGCTGCACTAAGGTTGTGCAATATTATATTATATTATATTATATTTAGCTTTGAGGCTGTTTTCTGTTTTTTAATGGCTGTTTTTCACTGGAAATTAAATAAGTGAAGGTGGTCTCTGATGTTTGCACAGTGCTGTACATCTTCAAGCGTGTGTGTTTGTGTGTGTGAATGTATGTGCATCTACACTAGCGTTCAAAAGCCCGAAATACAGGGTGATTCAAAAAGATTCGTCCGATTTCAAAATGATTTACTTCACCTGTAAATCATTAATAAATAAACTTTATTATGTAATTGTAGAAGGTCTCAATATGAACCTCCTCCAGCTGTACAGACAACATCAACACCATAGTCAAACTCATCCCATACTGGATTGAGCATGTCGGGTGTCGCTGCACTCACGGCTCTTTCAGTGCGATTTCGGAGATCATCCAGTGTTGTGGAACCAACGCCGAACGCTCTGAGCTGTTGGAGCTTCACTGCCCACGAAAATCACACTGCACAGTTATGACGGATTCACTCTTATTGAAGTGGAGAACGCAGAACGCTTTCTGCTCAGGGGTCTCATCTCCTCTCAGACTGAAGGGAGCCATCTTCCACTGACAGTCAGAAACTCTATGACCCCCTCTTTCAATTGGATTGTGATTGGTTCCTAGGCACCTCACGGTCATAAAAATATGGCGCTTTGAAATCGGATGAATCTTTTTGATAATAACTGGAATGGTTGTTTTATTAATAACTGCTGTTATCTTATTCAGTAATTAACTTACATAGTGCAGAAATACTATAAGCTAAACACCAAAAGGAATTTACAACATTATTTTGATATTTCAAAAAATTTGGGAACACCAAAAAAGTATTAAATCATAAATAATATACTATAATTATCCGTTTACTGTGATTTCTTGATACATTTTCCGGCACTAGTCGAATATGAGGCATTCTACATATTAATTTTGTTAGAACTGCTCATAGAACTGTTTTATTTACAGCTTTGTACTTGTTTTTTTAAATCTAGAGTAGCATTTATGAAAACTTTTGAACGCTACTGCATGTGTGTATGTTTGTGTGTGTGTGTGTGTGTGTGTGTGTGTGTGTGTGTGTGCGTGTGTGCGTGTGTGTGTGTGTGTGAGTTTATTTCTTGTGGTTTCCGAACTGCACGGCCATCCTGTCGCTGACGCAGCGGAACGTGGCCGGCTGAACCTCCCAGTAGTTGATGGGGTTTCCGAACAGACTGATTCCGTTGTAGAAAACTCTCTTCATTCCGAATCCCATAGGACAGAAATCATTCACTCCGACCACGGTGATGTTGTTATAGTGCAGATAGATCACCTGCGTGAGAGAGAACCACAATCAGCAGCAGCTCCACATTCCACACTGACGTACTTCACAGTAACAGCTCATAATTCCTCTGTTTTTCCTTGGTTTATACACTTAAAGGGGAACTCCACCAATTTTTCAAAATTTTTGCAGAATCAAATGATTCCATTCTACGCATCGCAAAAATGATCTCTTGTCAACTGAAATGATCTTAAATCTAGTCGATATATCTAACATTTCCCATTTTGAGATGGTTGTGCACTTATTATAAGATTATCTGCTTATTTCCAGACATTTTTAATTTCAAGCTCATTTCTGCCAACATAGTGAGATAATTTTAATCAATAAAATTACTTAAATCAAGTACAAATGTCTAGAAATGAGTTAAATAATCTTATAATAAGTGCACAACCATCTCAACAGGAGAAATATTATTACTTATTGACTATATTTAAGATCATTTTACTTGACAATATCCCATTTTTTTGCAGTGTAGAAACTCTTACCAAGTCAGAATTCCTTACAGTGGTGGTGAGAGGAACAACACGCTTAAAAATGATGGTTCTTCAAGGGTTCTTTAGTAAAGAAAATGGTTCTACATAGAAACATGAAGAGTCCTAGAACCCTTTGCATGATTAAATGGTTCTTTGCATTGTGAAAGTTCTTCAGTCTGAAAATGTGTTGAATATAATTCTATAGAGAACCTTTTTTGAAAAGCACCAAAAAGGGTTCTTCTGTTATTATGATGTCAAGCTTGTTATAATAGAATAACCCTTTTTGGTGCTAAACAGAACCCTTTTCAAAAAGGGTTTCTATAGAACCATATTCACCACATTCTCCATTAATTTGAAGAACCATTTCACCATGTAAAGAAGGCTTTAATCATGCAAAGGGTTCTATGAGTCTTCATATTGCGATTGTGTTCTATAAATTGAGATATGGGCCTTTTTTTGGCTAAGAAGACCAACCTATAACTTTTCTGGCTTGAGGCTTGAACTCTTAAAACAGTGAGTCAGCCTGCCATTACTTGTGGTTGTGATGTCACAGCACATGGATGTTTAGCTATTGCTGATTAGTCAAAAGCGGTTCACAAGCTTCTGTTATTAGATTTGATTTCCCTGCTTAAAACTTGCAACGTATCAACATTGAAGTTTATAGACTATGAGACTATAATACAAATTGCAGCTCTCGCGATTTGAAAACTGCACACTTTCATTTTGCGATTTCAATATAAAAATTATTAATATTTCAGCCCTAATAGGAACCAGACGTCCACCTCTAAAAGCTCCCTCACATTAAGTTATTACATGAAATGGTCATGAATTCACTGCCTGATGGCTGAGACATGATTATTTTATGATAGTTTTGAGAAGATTTTGGCCTTAAACTCCATTCATGATGGAGGGATACAGAATATGCAGGGCGCTGTGAGACAAAACCTGATTATTTCAGATTTTCCATCATCAATGTTCCATATGAACTCAGAAGACTCGTGTAGGTTCACTGGTGGTTCTGGATAGTAAATAAAATGTCTATATTTGTGTTGTAGTCATGGCGACCCCTGGTTCCTATCACCACCACTGTAAAGACATCTGAACCATTTCAAATTCTTCAAAATGAGTGGAGTTCCCCTTTAAAGATACACTATGTAAGTTTTGGGGATTTGGCCTTACCCAGTTTGGCCTTATTGGGCCCCATACATTTGAAAGGAAGGAATTTGTTCTCTAGCTGACCTGAGCAGGACATCGTGTAATGCAGAGAGCTCATATCTCACTACTGATGTTGTGTATGAGACACACACAGTCGCCCACATACCTGCAGGTACTTCATATCAGGCAGTCCTGAGGGCACGCTGGACAGACGGTTATTATCCAGGTGGAGCTCCCTCAGGTTGGGCAGGTAAGACAAAGCACCGTTCTCAATGTGACGAATGTGATTAAAACCAAGACCCAACCTAAATTACAACGAGAGAGAGAGAGAGAGAGAGAGAGAGAGCAAGAGAGAGAGAGAGAAGCAAGGAGAGAGAGAGACAGAGAGAGACAGAGAGAGAGAGAGAGAGACAGAGAGAGAGAGGGAGAGAGAGGGAGAGAGAGGGAGAGAGACAGAGAGAGGGAGAGAGAGAGTGTGATCCTGTATGAATTTGAGACAGTTTTAGTGTTTGACCACTAGAGGGGGGAAACGACAAACTTTAAACAAATCTGTGTAAAATCATTTTGTGTCGTGGCTTCTGGAACTGAAATCTGTCATTTATCAAGCGACACTGTTGCAGTGAACACTATAAAGACCATGATGTGCTCATAAGTTCTTCTTCACAGAGTTAATATGAACTGTGCCAGAACAAAACACAACATGCTGATAGTGAAGTCACTCTGTTTTAGAGTACATGTGCTGTAGTGTGAGACCTGTCCAGGGCGTTTCCTGCCTTCAGCCCAGTGACTGCTGGGATAGGGTCCGGCACCCCCCCGCAACCCAGAAGGACAAGCGGCATAGATAACGTGTGTGTGTGTGTGTCTGTGTGTGTTTTATTTTCATTTGAGTGTCCAGCAGAAGGTGGGTGTTCTGACCTTTGGAGCTGTTTGTATCGGCTGAGGTCCTCCAGCTCGATGGCCTGAATTTGATTATGATCCAAATGCAGCTCATGAAGACTCTCAGGCAGGTCTAGAGTAGGATATAATATAATATAATATAATATAAAGCAAATACATATAATTTAGAACAGAATTGTTAATGCAAGGGCATTTGGAGAGAACAAAGCACGAACAATTTAGTTAAGCTGTAAATGTAAATTTGCTGTGGTTTTATAATGTTGAAAATATTCCTTCCACTGGAAAAAGTAGTACCATAAAAATGGCCATTTCAAATAAGTTGACATATACGTCACATGTATGTCCATATGTGACAAATATAAGTTATAAAATGTAAGGGAAAGCGTTCTTCAGATAGAAGTGGGAACGTGTTGTATATGGTTCTATATAAAACCTTTTCACGAAGAGCTCTACAGCACTAAAAAGCATTATTGTATTGTGATATTGTGACGATGTCAAGCTGGTAACAATAGCAGAACTCTTTAAGAAGGTTCTATATAGAACCAAATACAACACATTCCTCATCAATCTGAAGAACGCTTTCACCATCCAAAGAGCCCTTTAAGTGAGATAAGAGTGCATTTATCTATCTATCTACATATATGAATACTCATGTCATATATTCAAAACCCATATCTTGCCATTGATCTGACTTCTGAACCAATCAGATTGTGCCGTCAGTGTAACTAACAGTTGTAGCTGCATTTACCGTTGGGCACTCCTGTTAGTTTGGCCTCAGAGATGCGCAGGTAGCTGAGCTTGAGGCCGATGAAAGCTCCAGGCTCGAAGCCGCTGTTCTGCAGGGGGTTACGGCCCATTTCTGCAGACACAAACAGAAAACACTCAAATTTAGCATTCAGTAGATCTAAAGGCTTCAGTTCAGAGGCAAATAAAGGCTGCCCATCAAATGTTCCCTCCTTTGTCAAGTGAAAGAAAAACTCTGACAGAACCTCTCAGAACAAACCTGCAGTGAGAACGTCAGCGGCAGTAAATCAGTCAGGATGATTAGAGTAAGAAACAGTGAAAGGTGTAGTGAGGGGTGTGTAATGCCTGACTCTCGCTATCCTGATCGTCTGGAGCTGCTTTTATCTCGAAAACGTTTTGGATTAACTTGCAGCTCAGTGACTCAGCTATTAACAGACTCCAAGGTCAGATAAGCTTTGTCTGGGTTACTGTATTTACTAAATACCATTTTAATATAATCTAATTTAATATAGTCTAATGATAGAACCCAGACAAAAATCTGACATATGACCATATAGGCACATATATTTCAACATTTATGTACAAATATCGCTGCAGTCTGAACAAAACCTTGTATCTCCATGCGTCCTCTTCAGTATGTAACAGCTCTGACAAGCTCCAGTGTTAGCTTTAGCATTCCCTCATCTGCAGGAGCAGCCTCTGTCACATAAACCTCGTAATGAGATATAATAACCTGCTGCTTTAACGTCCAGCAGCCGAAAGATTTGCCTGATCTGATTAATGCAAACATACTTTTCAGAATCTATTTTTTATTTAAATTAACCTACATTGATATCGGCAGTTGTCAAACTAAACACCCTGTAAAGCTACTTTATCTTCAAATAACTAAATGTTATGTTTTCCTCCGTGTTCCTTCGTTCGCCTGAACTTTTTAGTATGTTAGTATATTTGCTACAGATGCTACCATGTAGCCTGAACTGAACGTTTGACAGACAATACAACAGTAACTAACAGAGGCAGGATTATACCAGGGGTCGGCAACATGCGGCTCCGGAGCTCCAGCTCTTTTACTGACCTGTTGTGGCTCCACAGCAGAATCAGATTAGTAGGTAAAAATAAAATAATCCTCCTTTACAGTAAAATAAAGCTCTGCTGATCGTTCAACACAGTTTAACAATAAATGGTCTTAAACTCTGGAGTTAATGTAGAACTGCTAATTCACCCTTTAACCCTGAAGATCAGCACAGGCTGCTGGTCACCATAGCAACACAGACAACAGTCTCGCCTAGCTAGTAGATAACGAAACGGCAAAGAGAGAGATTTAAGACGAACATTGATAATTTGGAGACGAATGGAATTATTTGCATTTATAATCACTCCAGCTGGTTTCCTGATACGTTTAATCTGCAGTGAGAAACTGACAAACACTAAAAAGTCATGAAGCTGAAGTCAGATTCTCATTCGCCAGCTTCTTGTTTGAATTTCCCTGTTCCACCTTAAATGGTGCAGCAGTTACATTCTGGCCCCTCAGGCACCTTTTAAGGTGGAACGGGAAAATTCGAACAAGAACCTGGCGAATGAGAAGCTTCAGCCTCGTAAAAAGTTGAATGTTGAGAGACATTTTATAAGAAACTGTTCTACTTTACTGAAAAGTTTCCTGCTGGAGATGTGAGAAAAGCAGGTATAGCTTTGTGTAGTAAGTCTGTGTTTTTGTTTATATTATACAGGGTGTCCCAAAAAAATTCATTTCGTGGTCTAATAAGAGCCAATTCTCCCTCAAATGATCTCAAATTTTAACATCATGTGTAAAAACTAACCAAGTTTAATTTTTAATGTTTATTTTCAGGTTGAAGAATGACGTTCACTAGAAATGAAAAGGCATTTTGTGTGTTAGAATATGCTCAAACACAGTCAAACGAGAGTGTGCAGCGGCATTTCCGAGAAATGTAAAATGCACCAACTGGAAAGCAGATTTGGACACGGCACAAACAACTCAAAGAGGAAGGCTGTCTGTGCAGGACAAAGGGATCTGGATGACCACCAGTATCAGAAAATATTACATTCGTAAAGCTGTGAAATCGGTTATAAAATCTACATCCCTCTGAATTTCTTGTTTGAATTTTGATAAATAAATCTTGTATTGTTCATCATGAAGCCTGTTTAATTTTGTTTGCCTACGAGATGTAGTTAATCAGATATTCACATCTCAAATGATGTCGATTTTTTTGGGACACCCTGTATTTTTTAGTCTATATTAACACATCAGCACACACTGAGACATATTTACAGCCAAGATGGTAAAATGGACATAAACTGTTGTGGCTCCCAAAGTGGATTGATTTTTGTTGAAAGGACAAAATGGCTCTTCTTAACATTTACTTAACATTTAGTCCCCAGAACACAAAACATAATCCATCAGCCAAGACATGTTTGGTGTCTGAAGTTTGATTCTTTGGTTTTGCTCTGAACCTACACAGCTAATGCTAACAGGTAATGGAAGTCTACGTCACCCAAAATCCTGACTTCTATTATAGCCTCTATATATTCTATTAGCCTCGTAGCTCCAGTACATTTGAGGTTGGTGGTGGGAAACTGGGGTATCTGATTTTGCGTTAAACTATCGCTTTAACATTCCAACTATAGTTTCCCACCGTGTCTCTGAGAGACGGCTGAAAGCTCACCGATCACATGCATGTTGCCCAGGCCCGAGAAGGTCCCGGCGGCCACCTTGCGGATGTGGTTGTCATGGATACGCAGCTCCACGAGCGAGGCAGGCAGGTTGCGGGGGATGGAGGTGAGGTGGTTGTGGGAGATGTAGAGTTTCTGCAACCGCTTCAGAGGCTGGAAGGCCCGGGGATGAACCCTGGAGATCTGATTGCTTCTCAGTACCAGAGCCTAACAGACGCACAGGGTTTGGGTTGGAAACAGTATAAGGAAGAAAATCACTGTAACACAACTTACTCAGTGTCCCCTTTATTAGAAACCCCTCAACTGGACCAGCAACACACTCACTAACAGAATGGACCACCACCCAAATAACATCTGGACTAGGTGGATTACAGTCTGTAACTGTGCAACTACACAGTGGAGCGACAAGGTAGGAGTTTCTAATAAAGTGTCCAGTTAGCAGAAGTATGAGGTAGGTGTTTCTTATAAAGTGGCCATTTAGTGTAAGTACCAGGTAGGTGTTTCTAATAAAGTGGCCACTTAGTAAAAGCACAAGGTTGGTGTTTCTAATAAAGTGGCCAGCTAGTGGAAGTACAAGGCAGGTGTTTCTCATAAAGTGGCCAATTAGTGGAAGCACAAGGTAGGTGTTTCTCATAAAATGGCCAGTTAGTGGAAGTACAAAGTAGGTGTTTCTAATAAAGGGGCCACTTAGTAGAAGTACAAGGTGGGTGGTTCTAATAAAGTGGCCACTTAGTAAAAGCACAAGGTAGGTGTTTCTAATAAAGTGGCCAGTTTGTGGAAGCACATGGTAGGTGTTTCTAATAAAGTGGCCACTTAGTAAAAGCACAAGGTTGGTGTTTCTAATAAAGTGGCCAGCTAGTGGAAGTACAAGGCAGGTGTTTCTCATAAAGTGGCCAATTAGTGGAAGCACAAGGTAGGTGTTTCTCATAAAATGGCCAGTTAGTGGAAGTACAAAGTAGGTGTTTCTAATAAAGGGGCCACTTAGTAGAAGTACAAGGTAGGTGTTTCTAATAAAGTGGCCAGTTTGTGGAAGCACATGGTAGGTGTTTCTAATAAAGTGGCCAGTGAGTGGAAGCACATGGTAGGTGTTTCTAATAAAGTGGCCAGTGAGTGGAAGCACATGGTAGGTGTTTCTAATAAAGTGGCCAGTGAGTGGAAGTACAAGGTAGGTGTTTCTAATAAAGTGGCCAGTTAGTGGAAGTACAAAGTAGGTGTTTCTCATAAAATGGCCAGTTTGTGGAAGCACATGGCAGGTGTTTCTTATAAAGTGGCCAGTGAGTGGAAGCACATGGTAGGTGTTTCTAATAAAGTGGCCAGTGAGTGGAAGCACATGGTAGTTGTTTCTAATAAAGTGGCCAGTGAGTGGAAGTACAAGGTAGGTGTTTCTAATAAAGTGGCCAGTTTGTGGAAGCACATGGTAGGTGTTTCTAATAAAGTGGCCAGTGAGTGGAAGCACATGGTAGGTGTTTCTAATAAAGTGGCCAGTGAGTGGAAGTACAAGGTAGGTGTTTCTAATAAAGTGGCCGGTTAGTGGAAGTACAAGGTAGGTGTTTCTAATAAAGTGGCCAATTAGTGGAAGTACAAAATAGGTGTTTCTAATAAAGTGGCCAGTTAGTAGAAGCCCAAGGTAGGTATTTCTAACAAAGTGGCCAGTAAGTATGAAGTATTTTCTGATTCTGGTTGTGATGAACTGTGATGTATGTGTCGAGGTCAGTTTCTCACATAGAGGTTACTGAGGCCTTTGAAGTCTCCCTCTCGGATCTCATGTATCATGTTACACTGCAGGTCCAGCAGCAGTGTGTCTGAGGGGATGTCATACGGCACGTGGGTCAAACCTGAAAAACAAACACACAGACAAAATAACATATAAACAAGCTCTCTCTGGTCAATTACGGTGCAAAACTGAGATGACCAAAGGTTTGAGGAAGTATATAAGTGTAAAACATTTCAGATTAAAATACTCAGAGAACTTAACACAATATGAGAATCAATCAGTTTTCCTCTTTACTGCAAGCGTAGTCGGTCAGCAAAGACGTTAGGTTAGTAGTGCTTCTTTAGTTTTACACTGGACTACGAGGCTAATATAATGTACCAAGATGTCTGTGTCAAGAGTGATTTTAGCTGAAGTAGCTAACAAATAATGAAGGTTGTATACCAGTGAGCATGGTCCAAAACCACTTGCTTCAAACTGTGTGTAGTTGTTCAGTGTCTCTAATAGTCTTGATTATGTGGTTTCTAACACTGTGTGACTCACTGTTACCTAAAAACAGAGGGAGTATTTATCATGAAGGCTGTTTTTACAGATTATATCATAGTGTTTGCAAATTAGCATTGTAGCGTCAGCAAACTTCAGACTCCAAACATGTCTTGAATGATTGACAACAGTGCCTTTTTTACAACCCCATTTCCAAAAAAGTTGGAATGCTTGGCAGAATGTAAATAAAAATAGAATGAAATTATATGCAAATCAGGTAAACCATATTTTTAAAGGAAAATACTACAAATACTACATATCAAATGTTGAAACTGAGAAATCTGATTGTTTTTTGAAAAATATCTGCCCATTTTGAATTTGATGCCGAAAACACATTCCAAGTTGGGACGGGGGCCTGTTTACCACTGTGTTTCATCACCTCTTCATTTATCAACACTCTGTAAGTGTTTGGGAGCTGAGGAGACTCTGCTGTAGTTTAGAAAGTGAAATGTTTTCCTGTTCTTGTTTGATACAGGATTTCTCATCAGTTCAGGGGCTCATTTGTCGTATTTTTAATTTCATAATGTGCCAAATGTTTTCAGTGCTGACAGATCTGGACTCCAGACAGGTCAGTTTAGCACCTGGACTCTTTTAATACGGAGCAATGCTGCTGTAATACATGCAGAATGTGGTTTAACATCGTCTTGCTGAAATAATCAAGGCCTTCCCTGAAAAAGACGTCGTCTGGATAGCAGCATATGTTGCCTAACATACAGCAGCATATGTTGCTCCTCAGTCCATTTTTAATGAGCTCGGCCCAGAGAAGGTGGCAGTGTTTCTGGATCCTGTTTATTTTTGGTTCCTTCTTTGCGTTTTAGAGTTTTAACTTGCATTTGTGGATGCAGTGATGAACTGTTTTCACAGACAGTGGTTTTTCAGAAGTGTTTCTGAGCCCATGCAGTGATTTCCACTACAGAATCATGTCTGTTTTTAATGCAGTGCTGTCTGAGGGCCCAAAGATCACGGCCAGCAAATACTGGTTTTTGGCCTTGTCCCTTACATACAGAGATTTCTCCAGATTGTCTGAGTCTTTTAATGTTATTATGAACCGTAGATGATGAAAAGCAAAAGAACCCCTCCTCATCTCTACTTCTGAAAGACTCCGCCTCTCTGAGATGCTCTTTTATACCCAATCATGTTACTGACCTGTTGCCAATCAACCACCAGGTGTTTTTTTTTAGCTTTACACAACTTTACCAGCCTTTTGTTGCCCCCACCCCGTGTTCTTGGCATCAAATTCAAAATGGGCAAATATTTTTCATCATTTGATTTATTGTCTTTGTACTATTTTTAATGAAATATAGGGTTTAAATGATTTGCACATCATTGCATTTTGTTTTTATTTACATTTTGCACAGCATCCCAACTTTTTTGGAAATGGGGTTGTATTAAATTTTTTAATTTTCTGCCCAGTTCAGTCACAGACAATTCCAAAGGCTGGCCACTAACACAAACGCGGAGGAGAGCGCTTATTGCTAATTCTGTTAGCTAAACTGGCTAGCAGAGAGACAGAGAGGACAGTCAGGCACTCTTGGACTTACGGATGGCTGTGGCATCATCAGCAATCCATCTCCTGATCTCCTGATAAAAGGGCTAACGCTAAGACGGCTGCACCACTCGAGAGCCCTGAACTGTGTATGTTTTTAAAGCTGTTGTTTTAAGGTTTTCACTGAGTAAAGGAGCTCAGTGAGCAGTAAGAGCTGTGTGGTCTGTTTTTAATGCAGCATATTGTATATTTGTCCTGCTGTGGCCTATTTGCTTCATAATCCATTGTCCCCTTGTGTCCGTATTTAAGCTTTAATAATGCGTAGTGTTTGTATTTGGTTCAGAAAATGTTCTTCAGCGTGTTTCTTTATTTTATGTATTTTTTGGGTTTGGAATCTCTGGGTTACTCTAGTTCACTTGTAAACTCTTCAGAAAGAAAGCAGTAATTTGGGAAATGTTCAGTAACTGTGTGGGCTGGTTCTCCACACAGACAGAGCTCTATAATTAACATGGAGCCGGACCAGCACAGCTCCACGTAGCACAACATGACGAAGGAGGAGAGAGAGAGAGGGAGGGAGAGAGAGGAGGAAAGTGAGGAGAAAAAGAAAGAGAACAAGACAATGGAGCAAAAGACAGAAGAAAGAGAGAGGGCAAAAGGAGAAAGAGGCAAGAGTGGAGGAGAAGAAAAGAAAGAGTGAAATAAGGAGGCAGAGAGATAGCGAGACACAGAGAGAGTGATGGAGGAGGAAGAGGAGGAGAAAGTGAGAAATGAGAAAGGGTGAACGAGGGAAAGAGAGAGAGAAAAGAAATAAGAGAGTGAGAGAGAAAAAACGAGAGAGAGAGAGCGAAGGAAAGAGAAAGACTGAGAGAAAGAGAGGTGAGGAGGCAGAGAGATAATGAGAGAGAGAAAGAGAGACGGAGAAGGAAAGAAGGATGAAGAGGAGAGAAAAAGGGAGAGAAAGAGAAAAAAGAGGAGAGAGTGAGACAGAGGAGAGATAGAGACAGGGATAATGAGAGATGAGATAGAGATAGAGATGGAGAGAGAGAAAATGAGAAAGCGAGAGCGAGAAAGGAGAGAGAAAGAGGAGAGAGAGAGAGAAGAGAGAGAGAGAGGAGAGAGAGAGAGAGAAAGAGGAGAGAGAGAGAGAAGAGGAAAGAGAGAGAGAGGAGACAGAGAAAGAAGAGGAGAGATAGAAAGAGAGAGAGAGAGAAAGGAGAGAGAGAGAGAGAGTGAGAGAAAGGAGAGAGAGAGAAAGAGGAGAGAGAGAGAAAAAGGAAAGAGAGAGAGAGGAGAGAGAGAAAGATAGAGACAGAGATAGAGATGGAGAGATGACAGAGAGAGAAAGAAAGAAAGAAAGAAAGAAAATGAGAAAGCGAAAGCAAGAAAGGAGACAGAGACAGAGAGAGAAAAAAACAGGAGAGAGAAAAGAGAGAGAAAATGAAAAAGTGAGAGACAAAAATGGAGAGAGAGAAAGAGAGATAGAGAGAGAGAGAGGGAGAGGGAGAGAGAGAGAGAGGGAGAGATTCCTCTGTCTGTATTCGAAACACCTGTGAATCAGAGAAGTGTTGTGTCCTGGTGAGGTTTCCGCGGTAACAGCTGTTTTCAAATAACTGCTTTTGAACTTCATCGTTTAGACAAACATTTTAAACAGACATCTCTGTTTACGGCAGATCTCTCGCAGCGTAAAATAAGCGGCAGCTCAGGTGTCTGACCACACACCACATGGGCCGTGTCTGGGCCAGATTAGGCCACACCGAGGCTTAGCGGCTCTGCCTCGTTTACAGCAGCGTTTAAGCCGTTTTCTCCGCCAGGCTTTTGATGTAGAGGCCAAAATCTCTTAATTCCCTTCATCTTAATCCCAGATCCCCTTTAAATTTCCTCTCCGACCGCCAGAGATTCGGCGTTCGTTCATTCTTTAGGTGCTTCTTTCATGCCATTCGGGGCGGAGGCCGCAGTAAAGGGCATGAAGGAAATGATGGGCAGGTCTTTGATGTCAGACAGTGGTGAATTATGGGTCAGGAGGGAGGATATGAGAGAGATATCCTATAGTAATGACTACCTGCTGCAGTGCTCACTGTCTGCCCACTGTAAAGCCACAGTTTGGCAAAAAATCAAACTCACCCAAATTGCCCCCTTGTCCTGTGTTTGGTGTCTGAAGTTTGCTTTTTTCAGCTTTAGCACTGGAGGCTGGAGTGATGGAAGCTTATAAAACAGATAGTTTCGGTCCTAAAATCTGATTGGCTGAGCCGCATTTGAAGCCGTTGTAAAATCCACGATATACCCACACCTATGACTCCTCACAGCGACTGAACTGTGTATCACTGCGCCACGGAACGAAAAACCCTTCTGCTGTTAATGACTCTCATGCTGCTCACATGGAGCACCGAGTGATGAAGTAAGAACACTTTTTTTGTTTAAACTGAGGGGCTGAAAACTTGGATTAATGGATAAATCAACCTATTTAATTAACCGTTGCTCCACCTGTTTTTTCCCATTTGTACTCTAATATTTTATTCTAACACTGTTTGCTATCCGGTGTGGTCCAGAGGAGGATGGGTTCCCCTTTTGAGTCTTGGTTCCTCTCAAGGTTTCTTCCTCTTGCTCTTAGGGAGTTTTTCTTGCCACTGTCGCCATTGGCAACACTCACGGGGGCTCAGACCCGGATTTTTCTGTAATGCTGCTTTGTGACAGCACCTGTTGTAAAAAGCACTATTTAAATTAACCTTTGACTTGACTTGACAACTTAAGCTCTTATCTAGAACCAGGCTGGTCAGCTAGTTAACAGGCTAAAACAGCCTAAGTACCTCCATCACAGGCTTGAGTTAAAGCACTTACAGTATGATTCACTGTAAAACTGCAGTATAAAAGTCTAAAAATATCACTTGAATGTCTTACACACTTCAAATATTCGTAGTTCGGTCAGTTGGACCATCAAACCCAGACTAAATCCCAAACGGTTCTGTACTCCCTAAATAGTGTTCTAGCTAGGAAAGTTTGGAAATTCAAGTCTCTACAGTCAAACAGTGCCTCATTTATTGAGTGTGGATGAGTCTGAATCCCAAATCACCAGTTCTTAGCTATATTTTGCTCTGTTGGGCTGCAGGATCCAGTATTTAAACTCCTACATAGTGCACTATGTAGGGGACAGGGAGCCGTTTGAGATTCAGCCCCAGCTTGGTGCTAAATAAGACTCGCGGTGGTAATTTGGACCAAAAAGTACTCATAAAGCAAATGTTTATGCATTATATGACTATATAAAAAAAAATCATGAAATGACCACAGTGTAGAGTGACGGGCGACCAAACATTCTCCTCATTATACATGCACTAAAGGAATTACGTTTCTTGGCGGAATACTTGTTTATGTCAATTATTATTAATAACAACTTATTTTCTAAAAAATGTTATATTTTATCATATTTTATGTTTATAAACTCCATTTTATAAAAGCAATAAGCCACTTTAGGCCACACATTACTGCGATTGCAGTAACACACGGCCTCTCATGGCTTATTGCTTTATTGTATGTTGGTTATATGTATACCCTACCAATTAGCATGGTGCTAACTGCATACCTAAATCCCTATGCACTTGCTTCAAACTGTCAGCAAAACTCCTCAGTCATGCAGTGAAATCAGTGGTGGCAGTAAATTATTTAGTTCTTTTCCAATGTAGAACTAAAAGGAAACTGGGAATTTACAGAATCCTGTTACTTTTCTTATAAACCTCACTCTCTTATAAGAAAAAGTTGCTAGAAGAAGTTTTTCTGACACTTATGATTCCCTAAAGAGCCTTTCAGTAAACAGTTCTTTAAAGAACCATGTTTGTAAACGAGATATATGAGTGTGAATAAACTTTTTATAGTTTAAAGAACACTATGTAAAAATTCTAAACCAATTAAATTAATTTAATTAATTAATGGACTAATTCTGCAAATTGTAGCTCCCATTACCATTTATATGATTAACAGATTAAAAATAATATATAACTTAAAACACAAGATGCTCAAACTTTTGTGTTCATTCAGTAAATAGACAGTAATTGTGTGTTAAAAAAAAAGATTTACAAAAATATGGCACTTAATTTGATGTTTGAATGAGTTTCTGAGTGTACGGAACCTATACTGTACTGTGTGTATAGTTTGGGGGTTCTTTACTGTTTTAATCTAGAACACCTACGAACTGTTCATGTGCACAACTGTTAGATTAGTGCTAACATAACTTTAAAAACCCCATAGATGTGCTATTAGCATCATTGTACATACTTAAAAGGGATTTCATTTCATGCTTAAATGGTTCTTTGTATGGTGAAGTGGTTCTTCAGACTGATGGAGAATGTGTTGTGTATGGTTCTATATAGAACATTTTTGAAAATGGCTCTATATAGCACCGTAACAATAGCAGAACCTCTTTTGGTGTTATATAGAACTACATACAACACCAATCTGAGGAACCATTTCACCATGCAAGGAACAATTTAAGCAGGAAGGTTCGATGCAGACCTCATGGATACAACCATTGCCTTTACTAAAGAACTTTGAAGAACTGTCTTTTTTAAGCGTGTGAGTTTTAACGTTTATGGCCAGAACTTAAGGCCTAGCTTTACTAGTAATAGTTGCTACTGGATAACAGTATGTCATTCAGCCAGGGTCCTCAGCTCTGGTTCTAAGGCCCAGTCCCATTTCTTCTTTTTACCCCTACCCCTTGTTTTCGAGTGTCACCCTAACTCCTTGGAACTGAGTTACAGGGTAGTGGTTGAGATCTTCTCTCTGAAATGAGACCCTCAAATAAAAAGAGCATCACTTCATTAACAGCTACCAGCGCTGCTCTGTAGGTGACCCTGCCAGTCTGCAGTGACAGCAGAGGAGGGTAAAGTTCAGCTCCTCACTGCTGGGCTTTAGTTACATTTAGGGCATCATATGATCTTCAAAGAGGGGGGCAATTATTTATGATCACCCACCCCTAATTCTTCAGTGATATGAAGCTGAAGTCAGATATTCTCCAGCTTTTCGCTAGAATTTTCCCGTTCCAACTTAAATGGTGCAGCGGTTACATTCTGGTGCTTCAGGACACATAAGCATACTATTAGCGATTTTTTTATGCTTGTTATGAAGAAAACGACCATAATACACTGAAACGACATTAAACTAAGATAATATGGTGGTTATCATAATTTTTTAACGTAGAAAATTCTCACATTTGTGTCTGTCTATCCTTGGTCTCTTGTGCTCCGTCTTGCCAGTTTTTCTTTTTTTCTTCATAACACTCCGTTTGGAGTCGCTGAAAAACCTCAGTTTCATGTTCATTTCAGGGTCATGTAGCCCTAAAACTTCACCCTACCCCTCTATCTCAACAAGAATCAGGACACCCTACCCCTAGACGTGAACGCGCAAAACAGAGGGCTAAGGGCTGAGTGGTAGGGGTGAGGGGTGAAATGGGATTGGACCTAAAGGTCCGGCATCCAGCACACTGGTGATTTCGCTGCTTCTCCAGGACTGGAGTTGAGAACCCCTCAACCCCATACAGTGCCAGAAACCACAGGATAAGTCTATTAGAGATTATTTAACAACTCCACATATTTCAAAGCAAGTATGGGATGATTAGAACCATAACTGGTGGAGTATAAGCTTCCATTATTTGTTAGCTACATTAGACTAAGTGCTAAAACTAAAGAAGCGAAGTTGAGTCACCAAACAAGTCTTAGCTGATCTTCTACATTTAGTACAGAATATGTGTAAATCTGATGCCCCCCAAACTATCGCTTTAATCTGCCTCTGCTTGTACGCTCATATATCCAGCTCACTGCTTTGTTCCTGTCCACCCACCGAGATCGGAGCACTGCACCACCTTCAGGTGGCAGGTGCAGCCGAAGGGGCAGGTGGGCTGCTCGGGCTGGGGGAGCTCCTCGTACGCCGAGCCCTCCTCCTGGTCCTTCATCATCGTCATCAGCAGGTCCTTCACATCAATATCCTTGCCGAAGTCCCAGAATCCTTTCTGCTGGAAGGGTAGGGCAGAGGTCAGCAGCGGCAGGAGCAGGATTGTCAAGGCAACAGTCGCCATGGCTGCTGGAGTGGAGCGGGGTTTGACCTGTAAGAGACGGTGGAGGATGACATATAAGTGAAGCTAGAGAAAGAAAGGAGTGTAAAGCAAGCAATAAGGAAAGAAAGAAACAAGAAGGATTAAAGGAGTGAAAGAAAGAAAAGAGAAAGAAGAAACGCTACAGTATTAAGGGTGTAGGCTAACATTAACTCCTTTAGAGTACTGTAGCTGAAGGTGTTAAGCTTCCTAGCAACATTAGCAAATCCCTTTTACTTCAACCAGCCCACTGTAGAGGTGTAAGATAAGATAAGATAAGATAAGATAAGATAAGATAATCCTTCATTAGTCCCACAGGGGAAATTCACTCAAGGCACTCAAGAAAAAGAAAAGAAGTAAGAAGAGAATTAACGAGTACTTAATTAACCTTGTTAAGTACTTAACTAGGTTTTTACAGTTTGTTACTTGTTACTATATAGACAATATATATAATACTAAAAATAAAAAATAAGATAAAAATATAAACTCTATCCTTCACAAAAAAATAACAATATAAAGGATTATAAATAAATAAAAAGCTAAAATATTTACACTGTAAGGATATTTTGCCCGAAATTCACAAGGAGTTTTGCACATGAGGTACTGGTTTATGTCACAGATGGGATGGTGAGGAGTGAACAATATGAACATTATAAATAGAAAGCTAAAGAATATTTACACTGTAGAGATATTTTTAAAAAAATGCACACAGAGTGTTGATTATATTGCACACAGGAAAAGGTGATAAGTTCACAGTGTATGTTCTGTAGGTGTGTGAGGTCTAATGGGGGGTGGAGGAGGTTCTACTGGGAGCAGTGCTGGTTGTGCAGTCTAACAGCAGCAGGAAGGACCTGTGATGGCCTCATTCACACACTTGGGGTGAAGCAGCCGGTCACCGAAGGAGCTGCCCAGTGCTGCCAGAGTCTTATGCATGGGGTGGGAGCTATGCTGCTAACTTAGCTTTCTAGCAACATTAGCAAATCCCTTAGAGTCACTTCAGATTGGGCGTGGTCGCATTTGCCGCCATATTCACGTTGGTTGCCGTAGTAACAATTCAGGTGTGCATATGCTGGACAGATAGGGGCAAAACTAACCAAAATGAGTGTAAAAAGCTAATAGAACAATCACTAAATTTCACAACAGCGTTTCACTTTTAGTTTTTTGTTTATGGTTAAATGATTGAAGTGTTCAGAGATTATTTTGGGATGAGGGAACGTCTTTTACAAGCTTCAGAGGTCCATGTTTAATCTAGAACACTTAAAAATGTTCATATACACAACTATTAGCTTAATATGAATTAACAAACCCCATAGAAATTTATCTGTACTTGGCGTTAGCATAGCAGTATGGTTTTTTTTCCCAGTGCCCCAGATAGCGAGCATATATCGGTCCGCTGGCTTGATAAGGTCGGCACTCCGCTGACTGTTTGCCACTGCTGGTCCACCCTCGGACCACCCAGATTACTGTCCTGCATACAAACTTTAACTAGTTTTTAATCTCCTCAAACAGATTTTAAAAGCACAGAGACTTTTATTTTAGAAAATAAACAAGGACAAATATTACAAACAAATAAGAGAAAAAAAATGACTAGGCCTGATATAAAATGATTTTATAGAAAATGTTTCTGACGCTGTGATAGATTAAAATTATTTACTAAACAAATTCACAAAGTATAACTAAAGAAATGAAGGAAGAAAAATCAGTAAACTGGACTGTTAGTAGAAAATGAGTGATGATAAGTGGAACTTTGTCTAATACTCTGCTTAACCAACGGTCGCAGGGGCCACCCAGAAAACGCTGACCAAAACGCCAGTGGACCACCAGCCTTTGCCATCAGTGGGCCGACAGTGGTCCACTGTCCTCTTGCTATCAGGGCCTACGTGTTAGCTGTGTTACAGAAGCTTAGCTAGCAACATCAGCAAACACATCATCCTTGCTGTGGTGCTCTTTCCAGCCCTTAGTCCAAAGCAGGTTTCCCTTAATGACCTTTGCCAATACAGACAATGATGGAAAAAATCAGTAGTTTGTTTTGTCGTCCTTTATTTTTCTTTGTCTAAATGTACATTATGATACCATGGCTTCCGTTACGCTGCAGTCACACCAGACATTTGCAGATCGTGATGCCTAAAACAGGCATTATGGAGGCTAGTCTGGAAGACTGGCAACGAAAAAAAATCCTCCATGTGGGTGAAGTTATCAAGCCAGCTAACCTGCTAACCACAGACTGTAGAAGTGAACACACTCATAAACTCAAGAGAGGATAGTACTGCACAGTGTATACACATATATATGGGTCATTCTACAGAAACGTCCACTTTTCTATGTCTCCATACACTGTCATTGGTGTCACTGGTGTTACTGATCCTCATTGGTGTTACACATAATAAAGGGAACACCAGAGACATTTTAATGAAAAATGCATTTTACAAAATAACTGCTACAGAACATCAAACCACATGTTGTCAGTCATGGAATATCAACTAAAATATGGAATTTAATCCATTTGTATTCTATCTTTTCACAGTTACCTCAGAATAAAGTCGGTCACACCAGTGACTTCAGCTAAAAGCTTCATATGAAATCATGAGCTGAATGAGAAAATCTCTGATGACTGAAAGACACAGTGGACTCACCATGTGCTTTTCTTCATAGATCCTCAGAAAACAGGGAAAAGGAAGTCAAGTGATGTCATCAGTGTGACTTTTATTTCAAAATAAGAGATTTTTTGTTACGCAGTAACACCAGTGACACGACTCCTGAGGACCACAACTTTCAAATCAATTTTTTTTTAATATTTAATTGGCATTTGTTTTCTTTATGTCATTTAATTTATATAATCCATAGTCATGTATAGATTATTGTAGTTAAAATTGCAGAAAAATGTGTTTTTTTCTTCAAAATACGGCCTCAGCCTTCACACATGACTGTGAGGATGAGCTCTTCTGTGTTGTTTGGAATTCTAGATAATTGATTTAAAAACCAATATTGCTAAATTGAGACTCAAGAAGGTGTAATTGATAAAATAACTTATTGTTTTATTTTGAAATATAAACAAATTGTAACCCTAACATGTTTTGTAAGTGTAATATATCTGTAAATGCTAGGAGAACTAGAATGACCCAAATATATATTATATATATATATATATATATATATATATATATATATATAATGTAGATAACTGGAGTGATTGGGCAGCAGTGGAGTGACTTCTGTGCAGCTGTGCTTAGCCAAGTAGTTAGCAAGCACTCACCTACCATAAACAGTAGAGGTAAAGATCATATCATACAGTCTCTCTTTCATGTGCTTATTTATAGCCAGTGGAGACAAAATGGGAAGGTTCATGTTTAGCTCCTCCATTTTTGGGGTTTAGTGCTGCTAAATGAAGCCCCGCCCATTCAGAGGTCAACAGAGCTAAAGCAGTAGTGCATTTGTTAGAAGCTGTAGACGTGTCAAAGTTCAACAAAAGTTGAATGCAAAACTTTGCACGTGAAATTTACTGACCCTGGCAGTTTGAGACACTATAGCGCTTTTCACGGCAAATTCCACTGAAATTAACATAATTTTTGGCGTGGCTGAGTTTTCAGTAACAGCTATAAAGAGTTTATCTCGGAGCTCCATCTCACTGGAGTCCTAATGTGGCTTAAATACTGCATTTCTAATGAACTAAAACCGAGTTTCTTTTTTTTCCGCAGTGGCTCTGTGAAAGAGGTCTGTTGCTCCGAGTTACTTTCTCATGCTGTGTCATCACTGCGCTCTCCTGGATCAGCCCTGACTTGGCGTGGAGGGGTGTTTGGGTGAGACGCTCCCAGAACATCTGTGAGAGTGTTTGTCTAACACGGTCTGCTTGACACACAGCATGGAGATCAGACGCTTTTCCAAAACCTACAATGATGCGCGGTGAGCACTTTTCTCCTCCAGCTGTAGTTGTGTAAAAGTGTTCCTGGGGGTGAACCTGGGAGGTCAAACCACACCTCGTCTGACCTGATCTGCTTGTGGTCATTTAATTTTTTACAGGCTTATAATACATAAATTGTATATCCAAAGGTATCCAGACAGGCCTTCTAATCAGTGAACTAAGCTACTTTAAGGTCAGCTATTGCTGATAAAGTAAGAGCACTGACCAATACACTCTGGAGCAGCTGCACATGATCCTAAGGTCACCATGTCCAGCGCCAAGTGTGGGCTAGAGGGGTATAAAGCCCTATAAAGTTACGTGGTGTGTTAGTGTGTGTTGTGCTGGTACGAATGGATCAGACACAGCAGTGCTGCTGGAGTTTTTAAACACTGTGTCCACTCACTGTCCACTCTGTTAGACACTCCTACCCTGTCAGTCCACCTTGTAGATGTAAAGTCAGAGACGATAGCTCATCTGCTGCTGCACAGTTTGTGTTGGTCATCCTCTAGTCCTTCATCAGTGGTCACAGGACGCTGCCCACAGGACGCTGTTGGCTGGATATTTTTGGTTGGTGGACTATTCTCAGTCCAGCAGTGACACTGAGGTGTTTAAAACTCCAGCAGCACTGCTGTGTCTGATCCACTCAGACCAGCGCAACACACACTAACATACCACCACCACATCAGTGTTACTGCAGTGCTGAGAATGATCCACCACCCAAATAATACCTGCTCTGTGAGGGTCCATGGGGGTCCTGACCACTGAAGAACAGGGTAAAAGGGGGCTAACAAAGTATCAGAGAAACAGGTGGACTATAGTCTGTAACTGTAGAACTACAAAGTGCACCTATAGAGTAAGTGGACAATGAGTGTAGAAACAAGGAGGTGGTCAGAATGTTATGCCTGATCGGTGTAAATATAAACACTCTTAAAAAGATGGTTCTTCAACGGTTCTTTAGTGAAGACAGTGGTTCTATTTAGAGCCATGAGTTCTGTGTACAACTAGGTCATACTTAAAAGGTTTATTGCATGCTCAAATGGTTCTCTGCATGGTGAAATGGTTCTTCAGATTGTGTTGTATATGGTTCTAAATAGAACTTTTTAAAAAAGAGTTG